CCCAAAAAAGTTCCCGCTGAGGTCCTAGAGGGGCCTTGCTTCCTGCCTGGGAAAGGGTACAAGGGAGGGAGCTGCAGCGCCTGGCCCCCCCCCCCCCCCGCCCCGGGCCTGCCCCAGCGGTGCAGGGGGATGCTGGCCACCGCCCGTGCCGCCTCCGCCGTTTCCTGTGAGTGAACCTACCACACACCTCGAGGGCTTTCAGAGGACGGCTGAGGGGCGCCAGGCCAGGCCCACAGCCCCTGTGAGACAAGACTGGGGCTGCCCCAGCTGGCCCGGAAGCCGGGCCTGGGGTGTGGGCGTTCCTTTATGACCAGGCCGACGTCGGCTTTGTCACGTTACAGCATCCCTTCTCCACGGCAGTCACTTTTCTCATTTCATCTCCGGTAAGCCGGTTCCAGCCCAGTCGTACGGACAGGGAAACTGAGGCTCGGAAAGGGAACTGTTTACTGGCTGGGTGGAATGGAGTCCCACCACTTTGCACTCCGACCCCGGGAAGAGGGTTAACACACCAGGGGAAATGGTGCAGTTCACATCCCAAGTGGGGTGTGCGAATCTGGTCACACGGTCACTCCTAGCTGCAAGGGAGGCGGGAAAGTGTAGTCCGCACCTGGGCAGCCAGGTGCCTCGCATTTGGAGGGAAGACTTCCGGTTTGCCCCCAGTGATTAGACAGGCCCAGGTATCTTAGCTTGGGCTTTGCAAAACCCCTCCTGTTCATTTCCCAGGGCTGCTGCCCCGGGTCACCACACACCGGGTGGCCTAAAACAGTGTCACTGGGCGGAAGTCGGGGTGTGAGCGGGGCCACGCTCCCTCCAGAGGCTCTGGGAGAGGGCCCGTTCCTGCCCCTCCCAGTATCTGGCGGCTGCTGGCATCCCTGGGCTGGCAGCCACGTCACCCCAGTCTATGCCTCCGGGGTCACAGGACCTCCTCCTCTTCTGCCGGGATCGGAACTCCCTCTCACAAGGACACCTGTGGTGACCCGCAGGGCCCACCCAGGTGACCCGGGGTAATCACCCCATCTGAAGGCCCTTGACTCAATCACGGCCACCACGTCCTTCCCGGCCACGTGAGCTAACAATGACAGGTTCCAGGGACTGGAACCCGGGTGTCCCTGGGGCCGTGGTGTGAGGACAAGAGGCCGCTGGGAGGCATCCCCAGGGGGACAGGAGGAGGCCGATGAAGGGTGTCATCAGGCAAGCGGTCACCTAGGGGCCCCCGGGGCTCAATCCCACTGGGCGTTCCTGTCGCCGGTCGCCCACCCACCCGTCATGGGGTCAGCACTGCTCCCAGGAGAGCTGTTTCTCTGGCACCTTCGGCCGGTGGCCAGGGAGCCCCCGAGACAAGGAAAAGCAGGGCTGCCATTGAACTACGGGAACAGTAAGTGCCCATGGGATGTGGGTGGGGGCCAGTATCCCCTGCTCCCCAGTCCCCCCCCCCCACAGGGCGCTTACAGTCCAGCTGTAAGGCAAAGGCAAGTTGACCAATCAACGAAAGAAACACCAACTACTCAGAATCCCGGATCACCGGCTCCAAAGAACCTGTGTGCCCCTATGTTCACAGCAGCGCTGTTTACAATAGCCAAGAGCTGGAAACAGCCCAAGTGCCCATCAGTAATGAGTGGATCAGAAAACTGTGGTACAGCCCTGGCTGGTGTGACTCAGGGGATTGAGCACAGGCTGCAAACCACAGGGTCGCTGGTTTGATTCCCAATCAGGGCACAGGCCTGGTTGTGGGCCAGGCCCCCAGTAGGGGGCGCACAAGAGGCAACCACACGTGGATGTTTCTCTCCCTCTCTTTCTCCCTCCCTTCCCCTCTCTCTAAAAATAAATAAAATCTTTAAAAAAAAAAGTCTATCTAAATTAGCATACTTCAGTTTAAAAAAACTGTGGCACATGTACACAATGGAACACTACGCAGCATAAAGAAAGAAGGAACTCCTACCTTTTGTGACAACACAGTTGGAACTGGAGAGCATTATGCCAAGGGAAATGAGCCACTAGTCAGGTACGATCTCACCTCTCAGAGGAATCTAGTGAACGGAACAGAACCCCAGGCGTGGACACAAGGGCCAGACCGACAGTGACGGGCGAGGGGAGGGGATAGTGCTGGAAAGAAGGGGAAGGGACCAGCCGAAGAACACGTATGAATGACCCACGGGCGTGGACAGCAGGGTGGGGATGCACTGTGGGAGCGGGGCTGGGCCGGGTGGAAGAGGGCCAAGGGAGAAAATTTGGGACAACTGTAATAGAACAATTTAAAAAAATGAAGCCTCAAAGGGAACACCAATTGTGATGGGGAAAGAGTGCGGGGCTGTGACAGTGGCAGGTGGAGGGCCCCTCAGTACCCCTGGGTGGCCAGGGGCAGCCTGGTGGGAGAACGACATTGTGGCCACGTGAAAGGGGGGGTCTGAGGGGCCCCGGTGCAAAGACCCGGAGGTAGAAAAAGCACAGGGTCCCGAGGACCAGGAGATGCCCAGGAGGCCACGTGACTGGGCGGCGAGCAGGGAGCCGGGAGAAGGAGCAAGGGCACTCATCAGGAGCGCAGTCGGGGCCATGCTCGCCTTCCTCCCTCGGCGGTGCGGTCACCTCCACGCTCTGCAGCACCCCCCCCCACACACACACACTGCACAGCCCCCCTTCCGCCGCCCTGAGGGGCCGACAAGGGCAGGCAGAGAGAGCAGGGGGGCACAGCCTGGGGGGCCGGGGCGCCAGGGGGGAGGAGGGGCCGGAGGCCCTGCCAGACCGCTCTGCGCAGCCCCCCCTTCCCAGGTGATCCCTCCTGCCTCTGCCTTGCAGTTATTTTTAAAATCCCATTTCCAGAAAGTGGAGGAGAAAACCTCTGTACTTTGCCTCTTTGCCCCTTCCTCCTGTGGAAGAGGAGCAGAGGGGCGGGAAGGGAGGGGGAACTCTGGAGGACGGGGTGTCCTGGGCAGGGCGCCCGCTGGGGCCCAGGAGGCTGCTGCTGCTGACTCTGGGTCCCCACCCCCCGGCCCCGGGCCCATGAGGCGGGACCCCCTTCTTGAGCAGCCCCTACCCAGGGGCTTGTCTTCCTCTTCCACCAGCAGGCACCTCGTGGGCACATGCTACGTGCTGGAGCCCAGCAGGGAGGGAGCTCCGGGTCCCCACTGCATGGGGTGTGGGGCCCAGTGGGGAGAAACTGGCTATAAACTGAGGGCCAACAGGGGGACCCCCAGGGCTGGGGGTGGGGGGAGGGGCAGCCAAGGCCCCTGTAGCAGCGCCAGGGGCTCGAGGGTTCGTGGGCCCAGCAGGGGAGCCTGGGTGGGCTGGCAGGACCCTGACCGACCCCAGGGGCCCATCAGGGGGTGCCCTCACCGCCCCTACACAGGGGGCCCGGGGAAGGGGCGGGAGTCCCAGGGACAGGAAAGGCTGGAGCCAGTTGCCAGGTCCCAGAGGGAGGAGCTGGAGGGGCGGGGAGACAGGGTCAACCGGTCTCATGTAACTGCCAGCCCCCAAATTCCTGAAGACCTAAGGACTGTCCATGACCTTCACCGGGGGGGCCCACCCACTCACAGGCCTCTGGACAGAATGCCTGCCAGGGACCCGCCCGGGGGCCCAGGGCCCTTCTCACAGAGGAGGCCCGGCCCGAGCCCCTGTTCTGGCTCAGCCGGGCCAGGCCCCCAGGGACCCTCCTTGCGGGCAGGGCCCGTGGACTGGCGGCTCGGTGCCCTCCAGGGTGCGGGCGGATGGGGAGGGCGGGTGTCCAGGGGGCCGGGTTCCATGCTGGCCCCTCCATTCCAGCGCAGCCTCCGTCCGGGAAGGACACCCTCCCTGGGCCTGGGGGAAGTCACAGCCCCCACCTGCTGGGCTGGTGTCGGGGTGGGAGGTTCCGGTTAACTTGTGCAGGACAGCGCCGGCCTGGTGGGGCCTCCACAGACACGCCCCCCTCCTGACTCTCCCCTCGCCCCACCAGCCTCAGGCCCCCACCACCAAGCCGGGCTCCGCCCACCGGCCAGGGAGGAGTGTCAGGCGGCCCTCCGCCCCAATGCGGGGCGGCCGCCCAGAGAGCCCGGCAGCTGTGCGGGGTTGGGCCTCCTCCCGCACGGAGCACCACTCACAGAAATGCATGAGCGGCTGCACGCACCTGGGGGAGGTGGGCATTGCCGGCCCGTCTACAAAGGGGCCAGGGCCCTGGACAGGCCATCCGGCCAGCAGCAGCGCACCTGGGGTCGGAGCCCCGGGGGCCAGCCCTAAAGCCTCCGTGGGGGGTGGACGGTGCCTGTCGTCGTCGCTGAGGCTCTCCCACCGCGGCCCCCATCCTGGGCACACGGCTGTCTCCCAAGTCCAGGGGCAGCACGGCGGCCAGGGCCCCTCCAGCGCAGGGGCTGGCTGGGCGGCTGGGGCGCCCGAGGAGCTGGGGCATCAGAGGGTCCCGTCACCGATGGTCCCAGGGCTCCTGCCGGCTCCTCCCTCTTCGCCCCACCCGAGGGCCTCCAACAGCCGAGTTCAGTGACAAGGGCCCATGCGGGGGGTCCCCGGTCTGCCTTCTGGACCCAGCTCCCCTCCGCAGTGCCGCATCGGCGCACACCGAATCCCGACTCCGCCGCTGCCCGGCACAGAACGAGTGGTGGTTGGTTACCCCCCGCTGTGGGACCGATGGCCCCCAAACGTGCTGCCTACGACGCACGTTGGCCGGCCCAGGGTTTCTTGGCCCAGCTTGGCCAGGACTCTGTCTGAGTCTGCCAAGGCTGCAGCCCGGTGTCTGCGGGCCCCAGGGGTCTCAGGGCCCAGCTGCGAACCGGAGGCCGAAGGTCAGGTCCGAGGCCCCACTGGGAACACGAGCGCGGGCAGGTGCACACGGCTGCGCCCAGACCACCGTGCCCAGTTTCAGCAGTGTCCCTGGAAAGCTGCCCCGGACACCGGCACCATTGTGACCTCAGGGGTGAGGTCAGGGCTGGCGGGGCCGGGCAGGGGCGGCCCAGAGACAGGGCTACCCTGCTGGGCACAAGGACAGGGCCTGCGGGGCCTCCTAACCGGACCCCAACATGGACCAGAAGCGTTCGGAAAAGGCAGGCAGCCACTCCACGGCCGACAGCGTGTTATCGGCGCTGTCCCAGAACCCCAGGTCAGCCAGCACCAGGCCAGGGCCCGTGGGAGCCCGGGAGGGGACCCGGATGCCCTGCTTCCCACAGGGGCCCTGGCCGCTCCCTCTCTGGGGGGAGAGCCTCCCTGTGGGGCTGGAGGGCAGACCCCCAGGCCCCGGGGAGGGAGGGGCCTGGCAGCAGCCACGAGCAGCGGGGGAGGGCGGCTGGGAGGGAGGAAGCAGTGCCCCCAGTGTCCTGGGGGGCCCCAGGGGCAGCCCCACCCTCCTCTGCCTCCTCAGCCCCAGGCTGGAGGGCACCCTTCCTGGGGCGCAGGGACGCCCAGCGCCCCAGACTTGGCCTGGAGTCAGCAGGGCCTGCGAGCCCCTCCCCAGGCACCGTTCGGACCAGCGGGTTCTCTCGTTCTGATTGGTGCGCCCTTGTCTCCTCACCACGTCTGCAGCTGGCTGTGTTCTGGCTGTTTCTTGGTATTGAAACCACACTCCATCTTGGTCGAGGGAGGGCAGGGGTGCGGATCTGGGGCGCGACAGCAGGTGGCGGTGGCGCCTGTGGCCAGCGAGGCCCGGGCAGAGGCCCCTGCAGGACACGGAGTTGGCGCCAGCCGGGCCCGTGTGGAAGGAAGGGCCCACTCTCCAGCAGGTGGGCCTCGGGGCCAGGGCCCAGCTCTGAGCCAGCACCATCCCGCAGAGGCCGTGGGCCCCGGGACAGCTCACGGGGCCTCTCCGAGTCCCCCCAGGTCGTGGGACTGGTGGGAGGCCACCCCCACGGGGCGAGGTGGAGGGAAGGGGAGGAGAAGGGAGGCTGGGGGAGCTGCGCTATTCCCGGAAGGCCTTCATTCATTCATCGTTCACTCATTTCTTCAGTCCCCAGCCAGCCCCTGCGCTTGCCCCCAGCCAACCTCCCTGAATCCGGCTTCTTGAAGTTGACTGACCCCCACAGCTGGTCCATCGAGTCGCCCGTGACTGCCCCCGCGTCCCTGTCCCCAGCTGACTCGGTGCGCAGCTCCCTGTCTGGTCGGCGCCTCTCCCCCCAGAGTGGCGGCGCTGTGAGGGCCGGGTTTCCGTGCGCTCCGTTCCCTGGGCGGGGCCGGCACACCGCAGGCGCCGAACCAGCACCCCCTGGGTGAATGAAGGGCCGAGCCTGGGCCGAGCCTGCCCCCGCGCTGCTGCAGGGCTTCTCGGGGGAGGTTCCCGCCCCCCAGTAACGCGCTGAGGAACCCGTGCGCGGCGGCCTTTCTCGGCCGCTCGGTCCCTGTTAGCGCCGAGCAGTACCCACGGACCGAACGCGGTTTATGCCCTCGCCCCTGGAAGGGCACGCGGGCGTCTCCCACACGGGGCCATTGCAGATAACGCCGTTCTAAACGCGCGTGTGCACAGTGTGGTGTGAACATCAGCTGCCGTGGCTCTGGAGTGAGCGCGCAGGTGTGGAGGAGCCGCGGGGGGTGGTGGGCGCACGTCCAGCTCCCTCGGACGCACCGAGCTGCGCCCCCTACTGGCCGCACCGCGTGGCTTCCCCCCTCCCCCCCGCGGGGCAGGAGGCGCCCGGCTCCGCGGCACTGGCTGTCCCCGTTCCCCTGACTGACGTCGTTCTGGTCGCCGGGTCCCACCCCACCCCCACCCCACGCCTTTCCTTCGTCTCCCCCTTGGGGAAGGGTGCCCAGCATTTTGCTGTTTATTCGCCATTTTGTTATCTCCTGGGGCGGGGGGCGGGGGTGTCTGTTCGGTCTTCTGCCCAATGTGGACAGGTCCGCGGTGAGTTTGTGCTCTCCCTGCACTCTGGGCGGAGGCCTTCCTCGGTCGTGGGGTCCACGGAGACGCCCCCGAGTCCACAGCCTCTCTCCTCGGTTATAGACGGCGTTCCGAAAGCGGAGGCTCTCCGTGCGGGTGAGACCCAGGGTGGTGACTTGTTTCTTTAACGGACAGTCTCTTGCTGTGCATCTGAGAAACCTTTTCTCCCCCGAGACCACCAAGATTCCCTCCTACACTTTCTCCCGGGGGGTTTACAGTCGTGGGTTTCACTCTTGGGTCTATGGTTTATTCTGAGTTAGTTTTCGCACCCAGCTTGAGGCGGAGCCGGGAGGTTCCGCGTGCGTGCATGCGCCCACTAATTGCCCCCCCACTTGCTCGTCCCTCCCTGATTGAACCGCTTTTGCAGTTCTATCCAAAGCTGGTCAGCCTCAGCCGGGCGGGTCTTTCTCTGGACTCTGGACTTTTGTTCCGTTTATTTGTGTTTCTGTGCTTCCGTCACACGGTATGGCCTCGCCTACCCTAGCCTGGCCGCAGAGCTGGACGTCATTTGTTACTTTTCCGTGTAAATTTTAAGAACAACTTGTTGATTACCACACACACACACACACACACACACACACACACACACACACAATCCTGTTGAAGTTTTAATTGGAATTATAGTAAATATTCAGATACATTTAGAGAAAAGTGGTATCTTAACAACATATTGAGTCTTCCAATCTGTGGCCATGGTACGTCTCCTCTCGTTAAAGCCCTCTCGGTCTCTTCCATCGTTATTTTGCACTTTCAAGTACAGAGAGCTTCCAGTTATCTGTCAGGTTTGCCTGCGTATGTCTTCATCTTTAGAGCTACTCCATATGGTACCTTTTGAATTTCAATCCCCAATTACGTATTGCTAGCTTATAGAAACGGGACTGATTTTTACATACTGACTCTACACTTGCAGATTCAATGAACTCACTTTTTTTTAAGATTTCATTTATTTATTTTTAGAGAGGGAAGGGAGGGAGATAGAGAGAGAGAGAGAGAGAGAAACATTCATGTGCGGTTGCTGGGGGTCATGGCCTGCAACCCAGGTATGTGCCCTGGCTGGGAATCGAACCTGGGACACGTTGGTTCGCAGCCTGCGCTCAATCCACTGAGCTACACCAGCCAGGGCTTCGATGAACTCACTTTTTAGTTCTCGTGGGTTTTTTTATGGGGAACCACGGGAGGGGTTTGCGTGGCTCGCCCCGACACATGTCGTGTGTGGCGGTGGAGCACGTGGAGGGGTGAGACACTGAGATGCGCTCCTTCTAACGTGCCGCGGCCCCCACCTGCTCCGGACGCACTCCGGCCTCTGCCCCAGCCCCTGGCAGGCACGGGTGGTGGCCGGGCACTTTAGGTGGTCCTGAGAAGCCTGGGTCCTCCTGCAAGTCCGGGCGAGAGCTGGAGGCTGGATGCCCTACGCTGACCCTTCAGTCCACCCACCATGTCCAGCCCATCCAACTCAACGGTGCCTCAGAGTTGGCAGGACTCGAAGCCCCGCCCCCAGGCCGTCAGTGGACTGAACAAGACTCGAGCCCCGCCCCCAGGCCGTCAGTCCACTGAGCGGAAGGGCGGACGCCTGAGAGAGTGGGACCCGGCCTGGCCCCACCAGGGCGCTCTCAGTGTCCCTGGCGCCCAGGCGCGGGCACCCAGGACCCCTTTCTGTTTCAGAATCTCCTCCCACATCTCGGAATCCTCGAGGGACCTGTCTTGCAGGAAGGCCCCGCAGAGTCCCGCCCGCAGGGGCAGAGAGGCGCACCCCACCACCATCCTGCTGTGCAAGTCGCAGAGCAGCCAGGCCGCCCTGGCGCCGCAGGAGCACCAGGCATTCCTGGAGAGGGCCTGCACTGCAGGTGACCGCCCCCACCCCGAGACCCAGTCCTGCCCGCCCCTCCCTCGCAGTCGGGACCTCCTGTCCCCACCCTCCGGGTGCCCAGTACACAGCGGGGCCCTGACTCCTCTCTGAGACCCCCACCCAGCCCTCGGACCGCCCAGGGTGGGCGGCACGGAGTGCTGCCTGCTAGACGGCGGGACGAATCAGTGGAGAGAGAGCGGGATGGACGATGGGTTTGTGGACGGGAAGGAAGGTGGGTGGATGACGGGTGGGTGGACAAATCACTGGGTGGGCGGATCGATGAGTGGACGAGTGGATACATGTACTAACGGTTGGACGGGTGGATGCGTGTAAGGACGGACAGATGAGCAGAGGGACAGACTGATGGACGCACAAACAAACGCGTGGATGATGGGGTGGATGGACAGTGGATCGGCGGGTCGGTGGATGACGGATGGATGGATGCATGGATGAAAGCTGGCCGAATGGACAAACGGACAGGAACACAAGTGCATCTGTGCTGCTTGGACCTTGGACCCCAGAGGACCGGATGGCCAGGAGGCCCGGGAGCGCGCCCAGCACCCCCTCTCAGACCCCGCTCCCCACGCCCGGCCCGCGCAGCCCACCCGCCTCACACGCCCTCGCCGTGCGCTTTAGCAATCTGCTTCAAGATGCTGCGAGACCTGAGCAGCTCGGACTCCGCCCACCTGAGCTCCACTGTCAAGAAGATCAAGAGCATGGCCCACGAGGCTCCCGGCCTGGTGCTGGAAACCATCCACGACTACTTCAAGGACAACCCCGAGGTGGGCGCTGCTCAGGCCGCTCTCGGGGGCGGGGGGCGGGGGGCGGGGGAGGGGCTGGATCCCAAGGCCGGCTCAGACCTCGGCTCCTCCATACAGCAGCTCCGTGATCTGGGCGAGTCGGTCTCCTATGTCCACAGGGCTGAGCGGAGGGTGGGGAGGGGGCCGACACGTGTCGACTGACCTGAGGACAGTCTCCTGATGCAGCTGTTACAGCCCCCGTAGATGAGGAAACTGAGGCTTAGGGGAGGACAGCGATTTGCCTTAAGTCACAGAGCCACTGAGTGGCCGAGATGGGAGGGTGGGTGCATGGATGGGTGCGTGGGTGGTGGGTGGGTGTGTGGATGGATGGGTGGTGGGTGAGTGGGTGGGTGGGTGGATGGTGGGTGTATGGATGGATGGTGGGTGGGTGGGTGGATGGTGGGTGGGTGGGTGGATGGTGGGTGGGTGGATGGATGGTGGGTGTGTGGATGGATGGTGGGTGGGTGAGTGGATGGGTGGATGGATGGTGGGTGGGCAGGTGGGTGTGTGGACGGATGGGTGGTGGGTAGCTGGATGGATGGATGGGTGGATGGATGGCTGGTGGGTGGGTGGGTGGATGAGTGGATGGATGGATGGGTGGATGGTGGGTGCGTGGATGGATGGATCCGGATCGTTGGTGGGATGGATCTTCGGGTGGATGGTTGCTGGGGAAGGCGTGTGTGAGTTCTAATGAATGAGTGAGCGCAGGAATCCCGAAATAAACTGGCTTTAGAGATGGAACGCTCCTGAAACCCCACGGCAGTTCCTGAGGACAGAGACAAACTTTTATTCGCCTGTCTCTGCAAAACCGAGCTCACGGCCGCACGTGCTTGTAGCAGGCGTGTGCTAACCGGCTACTGGCCAGATGGCCAAATGCACCCCCCAGGGCCCCGGCCCCGCCCCCACAAGCTCTCTCAGCGACCCCGCCGTGGCCCTGAGCCTCTGCCCACTCCACTGCCCGCAGGTCTCCAGCTGGCACAAGCTGCGGCTGTTCCACGTCCTGGAGACGGTCATCGGGGTCAGCGACTCGCTGGAGGAGAGCTGGGAGAAGGCCTTCATCAAACTGGCCCTGGAGAACATGGCCAAGTCCACGGTGGGCCCCTCCCCCAGCCCCCGGGGTGCAGGCAGCGGCCCCAGGGCCCAAGGGTGCTGCTGGGACGGCCCGGCCTTGGGCTGGCCAAGCGACTCCCGTCCCTTTTCCCATCTTCTTACCACCAGCCCCTCCCGAGGGACAGACAACCCCGCGCACCCATTTCCCAGCTGAGGCCGGTGAGGCCCAGAGAGCTCACTGTTGTCTGGCCTCAGGCCCCGTAGGCGGCAGAGCCGATGTCCGAGGCCGCTCAGGGCCCTCTCCCCATGGTCCCCCACCCTGCAGCGGGCTCCGGGGCCCCCTCCCCACCCCTCCCTCACCATTCCCACCGGCGCTTCCCACACCCCAGCCTCTGCAGTCTCTGCGAGTCTCGCCCCCTCCCCGGGCTGTCACTCAGCTCTGGGTGGCCCGCCTTCAGGGTCCCGCCTGACAGAGACGCACAGGCCCCGACCTGGGCCACCCACCAACAGCCCCCGCCGCAGGCGTCACCCCAGGGGCCGCCCCAGGCCGGCCAGCTGTCTCAGCTGCGGCGGCTCCAGGCCTGGGGGCCTGTGGCTCCCACTCAGACCGCCAGCCCGGGGCAGCCCCGGCTGGAGGAGCCAAAACCACATGCCCAGCCGTGGTCGGGGAGTGGTGACCGGTCACCACCAGGGGTCCAGGCCCTGGCACCCCACGAGGCAGGAATGGGCGTGACTTGACCCCTGACAAGGATGGAGGGGCCGGGGGCTACGCCCAGGAGACTTGCCCGTGGTCACTGCCCAGCTGGCGGACGTGGGTGTGACAAATTCCTCGCTCCCCACAAAGAGGCCTACACATCGCCCCTGTCAGAAAAACGAGGGTGTCCATACCCCACGATATTCTTTCTTCTCAAGTTCTTTTTAATTTGTAAAAAAGGGGTTTAACTTGTTACGGTGAAGTAAATCGGGCACATTTTAAAAGTGCAAGACACCCATGTATAACTGACAGACTGGTGATACTAATATTGAAGAGCTGGGGGAGGGGCGGCGTGACCCGGCTGGGCCAGGCTGCAGCCCCACCGAGGGCGGACAGGAGCCCCCCCGGGGCAGCCTGCGGCGGTCTGGGCGGTGCGGGGGACCGAACACAGCCGGGTCAGGGCCGGCACTCCCGTGGGGGCCTGGCACTGGTCTGGGGGGACTCACGCACGGAGAAGGGCAGGTGCAGGCCGGCGAGCGTGTCTCGGCGTCTGAGCCCACCTGTGTCCGGGACGCCATCCCCTCCTCCCCAGGCCTCCCTCTGCCCCCCGTCGCCTCCCCCCTGAGGCAGACACCTGCCCAGGAGCTCCCCAACAACATGCGTGTGGGAAGCAGGACTTCGAGACCACGCCTGTCGGGAAATCTCTGAGCTACTCACCTGGACCACATGCGTCCCCGACGGTCACCCCGTTGTCCTCCCGCCGCCCCCCGTGCGGCTGCGCAGACCCCAGAGCCAATCTGAACGTCGCTCCTTTACCCTCACCCTACCTTTCTGCAGCAGGCTTCTGGAACCCTCTCTCTGCCCCACACGCCCTGCCGTGCCATAGCGGCAGGTCTCGCTCTGGGGCTGCTTTTAGCCACGGAGCCCGGCGGCCCTGCGTCCTCGCTTCGTGGGAAGCGGCTGACGCAGACTCGCTGGGGACAGGGTGTGTGTGTCCCTGTTCCGGGCCCCAGGGGCCCCGCGGCTCAGATACGGCGCCTTCGAAGGCTCCTCGCGTCCTTATCTTCCTCCCCTTCTCCACCCCCCGCCCTCTGTTCCGCCCTCCCAAGTGCGCCCTTATCTTCCCAGCCCCCTGACTGCGTTTCCCGTCCGTCTCCGCCCCTGTGCCTTGCTCGGCATCTGGTCCGTTCCAGGAAAGTTCCTGCTTCGTGCCCCGCTGCGCAGACATTCTTGGAGGCAATGTCTTCTCTTATCTCTCAGAGGACATTAAAGAGGGTTTCTCTGGAAGTTTCCATCTCTCTGCTTGGCCTCTGCCTCCTCCGAGCCACTTGTTTCGGGCTCCACCGCGTTTGTGGTCCTGGGTTGTTTCACTCCCACCTCCGAGGTCTTCCCCCCACCCCGCCCAGGGGTTGTCTGCGGGGTCAGGGGTCGATCGGGCTCCTGGAGACCTCCGCGGCCCCTCCGGACACCGGGCCCCCGGAGCTGCTGCGGGACCTCCAGGTGTGCGCAGCGGGGAGGGCACTGGCCCCGGACCTCTCCTGCAGCCGCTTCCCCCCGCCCCCACCAGTCGCGGAGGCCGGAGACCCGTGTGGGGCGCCACAGCGCTCAGTAGGGCGCCCGCTCTTACCCTCTGGCGTCCACCCCCCCCTCCCGCCCACAGGAGCTGAAAGAGGCGTACCAGGACGCGGCCAGCAACCTGCTGGTGGCCGTCTGCAGGCACTCCTGGCGGCGGGTGGCCCGGCACCTGGAGACCGAGGTCCTGACGGGCGTCTTCCCCCACCGCAGCCTCCTCTACGTGATGGGCGTCTTGACCTCTCCACGTACGTCCCGCTCTCGGCCCTGGGACTCCCTGGGCCGCCCTCTGCTCCCAGGCCAGCGAGGCGGGGGTGGGGCAGGTCACGGAGAGAGATCGGGAGGGCGCTGGGGGATGAGGCAGGGCGCAGTCCTGCCCACCAAGCACCCCACAGCCCGCCAGCCCTGCTGGGACCCTGTGAAAGGGTGGCCCGGCCCAGCTGGGCTGCCCCATTCCCACCTGAAGCCGGGGGCTCGCTCAGATGAGGCTTCGGCTAGTGCAGACCGCAAATGCGGACTGAGGGGCTCCCTGCCACCAGGGGCTCACGGGAAGGCAGATGCCAGCTCTCACTGGGCACTGCTTCAGCCATCCACGGGCGTGAGCTGAGCTCACCAGTGCTCAGCTGGGAGGCACTGGGCTGCCCTGGTGGCCATCAGGGAAGGCTTCCCGAAGGAGGCAGCCGAGTCTGAGCTGTGCCTGGGGGGAGGAGGAGGAGTCTGAGGAGAGAACGGTGTATATGCTTCGGGACCTTAGGGAGGACTTGGTGTCAGCAGAGGTTGGGGACGGTGCAGGACACAGTGTGCCCTCAAAGGCCACACTCGGGGCTGGAACTATGGTCTGGGAGGAGGCAGGCCCCAGCCGCCTCGGCTCTGCAGCCCTGCGTGGAACCGGCCGGCTGGGCGGAGGTCCCCCTGCGCCTGAGTGACCTCTGAGACCCCCAGGGTCGGCCCTGAAGCAGCCCCTCCCCCTGAGGCTGGGTTTTGGTCTCGTGATGCCCGCCTCTCTCAGCCTCATTTTCTCCCCTTGTGGGGACCCCAGCACACGCCCACAGGCCACTGGGGAGCCCCCCGAGGCCCTCCGAGGTCACACAGCACAGCCCGCGGGGCCACAGCTCCAGGCTGGCTCCGGACCCCAAGTTGAACCACAGCTCAGTCCTTAGAGCTCACTGCCACCCTGGGGCTGAGACAGGCAGGGACCCCGACTCGGTCCAGGGTCCAAGGGGCAGAGGACGTGGAGCCTGAGGTGTGGCCCTGGCCGTGGCCGCCAGGCCAGCCTCCAGCGACTGCTCTCCCCCACAGAGGGACCCCTCAGCCAGGCCGACAAGGCGAGCTGGGAGGAGCAGCTGAGCAAGGTAGGGGGGGAGCCGGGGCAGCAGGGACGGGGAGCGGGCAGCACACCAACGTGTGGGGGTGCGGGGAGCCCCACTTTGCAGATGAGCCAACAGGCTTGGGGAGGGGAAGGGGCTGGACCACAGCCCCGGGGGATCTGGGATTTGAACGTTGGTCCCCGAGTGGCTGGCCCTAGGACGGTGCCCGGCACACACAAGGCCCTCCCCACGCCGCCTGGGGGCGGGGCCCACGACCGAGAGGCCCCAGAGGGTGCGGAGGTGGACGGAGCTCTGAGCAGGGCAGGAGGGGGCGGGCTGGGGCGGACGGAAGGGGCCAGAGCCCCGGCCTGGTGTCCGTGCAGGTCCGTCTCTGACCACCCGCCCACGCGAGGGCTGGGAGGCTGGGAGGAGGGACGGGGGACCCCCGCTCACCCAGGGTGGTGCCCAACTTCAACCAACGGCAGCCGGGAGACCGCAGAGCTACACCGCCTCTCGGTGCCCCCGTTCCCTCACCTGTCCGTCCAGTGGGGATGGATGTACCTGGCTCAGGGGTGTGTCGTGAGGGTTACAGGAAAACCCCCACACAGGCTTGCTCAAGTTCATGTTCACTACCACGTGGTCGCGGCAGCAGCGCCGCCCTGGTTAAACTGTACTCCAGTGGAAATTAGACCAGCGGCGGCGGCGAGACGAGTAATTAATACACAAATAAGACGGGAAATCGCTCAGGCTGTAGATGCCTGACCTAATTAACCAGATTGATCCCACTGGCGTTCACCGAGGCCCGGGCACTGCGGGGCCCCCCGTGAAGTTTCGACACACGCGCAAGGACCGCAACCGAGCCGCGTACGTGCTCGGCCCAGAACACAAATTAAAGATCAATAGCAAAATCAGGGCTGGAGAAACTTCACATATTTGGAGGGCAGCACCGCTGCCAGGCACCCGCGGGTCACGGGAGAAATCACACGGGGAGCTTAGGAAGTGCGGGCAATAAAAAGCGTATTCTCAGGGGAGGATTAAGACGCTAATTAATTAATCGATTGACTGAAGTGCGTTCTGTATTCTGGAGTAAACTGGAGGAGGGGTCAAAGGGCGTCTGTAAAGAGACAAACGAGGGGGAGTGCCTGAACCCCGAGGTGGGGGCTTCCCACCAGGCGGCCAGGCCAAGGGCCGCACCCGCCCCCCACCCCACCACCGAGGGGTCCGTCCCGGACACGGGACACCGCCCCCAGGGCGCGCTGCCCAGCGGGGGCGGGGCGGCGCCCACAGCCCCGCCCCCAGAACGGCCGCGGCTCGGCACGATGCCAGGGGCCCCGGCCGCGGAGACAGAACAGCCAAACGCCCTGGAAAACCGCAAACGACCAAGCTGACCCCGGGAGACCCTGAAGCTCCGAGCCCGCCTGTTTCAAGGACGTGGGAGCCGTCGTGACACCACATCTGCCCACAAAGTCACCTCCAGGGGCCCGGGGTCCTCCCGGCCTGGAAGATGGGGTGGGGGGGGCAGCAGGCCCGTGAGGAGTCAGGGCCCTGCGTGGCGGGGGCAGGGAGGGGGCCGCCGGGGAGGCTCCAGCCCTGCCCCCCCCACCTGCTCGCAGATAGCCGCCCAGGCGGTCCCGTTCCTGAACTCGGAAGTCTGGTCCAAGGAGCTGCTGTGGGCACTCACCAAGCCTGACCAGACCCACCGGGAGCAGCCCCCCGAGAAGGTGGGCCACACTCCGCCTCCCCCACCTCAGCCACCGCCCTGCCACCTGGGGCCCAAGAGAAATGAAGGGGAGGGGCCAGACTCGAAGACCACCCCTGCAGTCCCCCGCCAGGCAGGCCGTGGGTGGTCCCTCAGCGGGCGGCTACCGGTCATCCAGGGGGCCGGGAGGGACAGGGCGGGGTCAGACTCCGGACAGGCAGCTGCCCCTCCCCCAGGCCTTCCTGTTCGTCTTCTACGGGCTGATCCTCCAAGCGGAGGCCGACGGTGCCACGGTCAGGAGGCACCTGCAGACCCTCCTGGAGACCTCCCACCGCTGGCCCAAGCAGAGGGAGGTGAGGACCGGCCCCGGCCTGCCCCCCGGCCGACCGGCCCTGCCCGCAGGCTCAGCCGGACCCGAGTCCCTTGCCAGGCCCTGCCCCATCCCAGACTGGGCGAGTCGCAGCTCGGGTCCCCTTTTGCATCCCACATCCTTGGCCGTCGTGGTTCTGCCCCCCCCCCGCCCCCCGGCTCCTGTCCTCGCTAGAGCTGGGGGCAGGGGGCGCCCACAGGCCTGCAGGGGGTCCTGCCTCCCTCCTGCCCCCCTCTGCCCACCCTCCAGACCCCGTGAGAGGACCCCAACGGGGTTGGGGTCCACGTTGCGAGTGCCCGAGTGTGCAGGGTGGGGGGTGGGCGCCTGGGCGCCGCCGAGGCGAGGCCCCTCCCTTTCTGAGCCTCAGTTTCCACGCCCTCGGCGAGGGGCCAGGCCCGGTCCTGGGACCCCACGTGGTGGCCCTCCTCCCCGGCCCCTTCCTTAGGGCATGGCCCTCACGGTGGGGCTGGCCGCCGCCCGCCACCTGGAGGACGCGTGGGCCGTCCTGGAGCACTTCGGCCAGAGCGACCCCATCAAGTGCAGCCTGCACAGCTTCTCCCCTAAGGTGCTGGCTCTGGGGTCACTGGGGTCACAGGCCCCCCGCAAGGGGCGGGGGTTGGGGCCCCGGGGCCCCGCCCTCCAGAAAGGTCTGAGCCTCCCGGCAGGGCCCCCTGCACAAGCTTTGACCACACGTCCCGGCCCCCCGTGTGGCCCCAGCTCTACGCCAGCCTGCAGGCCGGCCTCCTGTGCCTCGGTTTCCCCTCCCTGCCTCGCCAGCTGTCGGGGCTGAGATGAGCCGTGCCGGGAAGTGCTCTGGGACAGCTCCCAGCATGGCCGTGGTGGCTGCTGGGGTCTGTCCGTAGCTCCTTGACCTCGAGTCTTGTCTGACACACGAGACGAGGCTGGAGGTCACCCTCGTGCCCCCGCGGGTGGCCAGGGCAGCCACTGCGCCCCGGATAACTCCCGCAGGCGGAAACGTTTTCCCTTATTTTCTGCTGAGGTAAACTGAGGCCCGCCACCCCTCAGAGTCCCCTGCCTCCAGCCCCCTGCTAGGGCCCGGGGCACCTGCCGTCACTGGTCCCCAAGGGCAGGGTCCTGACGCGCCGCACCTGCCCGCCCAGGGCCCGGCCTCGGAGGACCTGCGGTGGAAGTGGGCCAGCAGCACCATCCTCCTGTCCTACGGGCAGATGGCGGCCAAGGCCCAGGCCCGCATCCTCCCGTGGGTGGACAGCATCTTGTCGAGGATGATCTTCTTCTTCCGCTACAGCTCCTGGGTACGTCCAGCGCCCGGGCCGCCCCCTCCCGCCTCGGCAGGGCCCGCTGCCCCGTGTGACTGAGGCTCCCCCCTCCCCCGCCCCTCCCCCTGCCCCTGCCTCCCGGCCTGGCCCCGCACTCGCCAGAACGAGAGCCTGAAGCAGAGCTTCCTCACCGCCGTGCTCATGCTGGTGGAGGCCGTCAGCCTCAGCGGCGGCGCCCACAGCTGCCGGCTCTCCCAGCTGTCCGAGCTCCTGGAGTGCCTGATGGTGAGCCCCGGGTCGGGTCGGGGCAGAGGGCCAGGGGGAGCGGGCAGCCGGGTCTCTACAGCAGGCACTAGCCCCTCCCAGGCTCTCCCACTGGGAAGCACATCCATGCCCCCAACGCACTTGGCCCTCCCACTGACCCTGAGCGGGCCAGGTGCGTGGCCCCCACAGGGGACGTCGCCGAGGCCCAGAGCAGCCGAAGCCACCCAGCTGCTGCTGCTGCTGCTGCTGGCCTAGAGGAGACCCGCAGTCGCCAGCAGAGACCGCGGCCTCACAGAGCCCGGGGCGGGCGGGCGGGGAGGAGACACAGGGGCGGCGGATGGTTACAAAAGTAACAGTAACAGCATCTCCCGTCTGCTGAGCTCCCGCTGCGGCTCAGACCTGCTTTGCGTGCCTTTCTTCATGCATAACACGCACGCCACAAGGCCGTGCTGTCTGTGGGTACGCAAAGCTCGCAGCGGTTGGGGGGCTCGCCCAGGGCCGAGTAGCCGGTGTGGGGCTACCCGGCATCGAGACAGAGTCTCCAGTCCGTGCCCTTGTTCCCTCCGTGGGGGCCAGGCCGCCCGGCGGGGACAGGACCTGGAGCGTGACCCTGTGGGGCGCTGCCTGAGGCCTTCAGGCAGAGGTCGCACTCGGTGTGGGGGCGGGGTGGGCCCCGCTCAAGCGACAGCCCGCCCCCCGTGCCCTCGCAGGTCCTGCTGCAGAAGGAACCCAAGGACGCGCTGTGCACGCCGGCCCGCCAGCAGGCCATCCGTGTCATCTCCAGCCTCTGGTAGACCCCCCGCCCCACGCAGGGCCTTCCTCGGCACCAGACGGCAGCCCGCGGGGTCGGCCGCGATGCCAGCGGGACAGCAGGCGGGGGGAGGTCGGGAGTCAAGGCCGCACTGCGAAGGGCCGTGGTGGCCGGGGGCGGGCAGCTCACAGAGGCCCGAGCACTGGACTTCCAGAGGGAGCGGACTCCCCTGGACACCCAAGGCCAGAGCAGTCGGGGCGAGCTCCCAGCCCGGGGCAGTCTGGAGCAGACTCGGCAGTCGGGGCAGGAAATGTGAAGGGACACTGAGCCTGGACGGTGGCCAAGGGCCCAGGGAAGGGAGGGAGGCTCGGGGACGCCAGCGCAGCCCCCCACCCATGGGTGGGGCGAGGGGAGCCTGGCCTCCCTAGCCTGGCCAGGCCCAGTGAGTCTGCCCAGGAGGCGGAGGCCTGGGGAGTCGAGACCACACGCTCTCCCATCGCGGAGGGACATAGCCGGCTGCGGCCGAGCGCCCCTCGGGCCGGGCCCTGCCCCCAGCAGGTGGCAGTGGCTGCGGGCAGGCCCTCCCCGGAGTGGTTACACCAGGTTCAAGTCCGACCGAGTGGCCAGAGCTGGGGAGGTGCCGGGACTCGGAGCCCCTCGAGGCCCTCCCACACCCCTCTGGAAGTCACCTGCAGGGGAGGCCTGCCAGAGGTCACAGAGGGGCCGGGCTGAGGGGGCAGAGGTGTATGGGGTAAAGGCAAGCGGGGAGGGGGTGCCTCAGTCCCAGGAGGGGCTGTGCTCCCGGCCCGCCCACTGCTGGCTGAGCGGGCAGGCGTCTCTTCCCGACGCCCCCCCCCCGGCTCCCGCAGCCCCCCTCACCACCCGCTGTCCCCCACACAGTAGGCTGAGGCCGCCCCTGGACCTGGAGAAGAAATCGCAACTGCTGTCCACCTGCCTCCACAGCGTGCTGGCCCTGCCGCTGCTGGACGTCCTGGAGAGACACACCTGCCTCTTCCTGGAGCCGCCCAACATCCAGGTGCGGTCCGGCGCCCGCGGCCCCTCGCGGAGAAGGCCCTCGGGCAGGGCCTCCGGCTCCGCCGCTGCGCACACCTCAGAAGGGAGCTGGTGCCGGTGGGTGCTGGCCACCTGCCAGGCCCTGGGTCTGCCTCTCCAGCAGCAGATCGGCGAGCTCAAGGGAGCCCCCCGGGCGCCCAGGGAGCTGATGGCCAGCACCCAAGGGCTCTGCTCCAGTGGGCTCCAGTGGGGAGTGGGCTAGGCCGTTTCTGTGGCCCCCTCCCTCCCTGAGGCTGCCTGGCGAGCCACGCAGGAGAGATTGGGGGCCTCGTGTGGGGGACCCAGGAATTGGCACCAGCTGCGTGACTTGCCAGGACCACCTCAGAACGAGGGTGGGACCCCTGTGTGAATCTGTGAGGAATTTGGGGGTGGTGCTGGCAGCAGGCGGGGCAGCACTGGCCGCCCTGAGGCCCCCCGAGGGAGCCAGCCCAGCTGGAGACGGGCTTCCCTCCCCACTGGGCAGGCCCAGAGCACCCTCCTGCCCGGCCGCCCCAGCTGCCACGCCGGGATTGTGAGGCCCCTTCCTGGGCACACTCTCTGCTGGGCGGCCCGGCCCGGGCAGGCTGCAGGAAGTGGGCACCCCTCGCCCCCGGAGGCCAGAGCACTCAGCCCCGCAGCGGCCTCCAGCCCCCGTCCACCCCCGGGGCGTGGCGGCCACCTGACCCGTACTGGGTCCCCACACAGACCCTCTACGACGAGACGGCGGAGGCCCTGGACCAGCTGCTGCAGACCTTCCTCATGGAGAACCCCACGGCCGACGAGCTGCACTTCCTGCTGTCGGTGAGTGGGGGCGGGCGGGGCTGGCACGACGGGGGGGGGGCGTCCCAGAGGGCACGGGGCTGTGGGGGAGCCGGGCTGGGCCTGGGTCCGGGCTGCAGCCCCCCCACCTCTGCCGGCCCCACCGCAGCACCTGCTCACCTGGCTGGCGTCGGACAAAGCGCACGAGCGGCAGCGGGCTGTGGACAGCTGCGTCGGCCTCTTCAGGTTCCTGAGCCACAACCGCTGCCTGGACGTGAGTGCCCGCCAGGGGGCTTAGGCCCCCTGTGCCCCTGCTGCCACACGGGGTGGGTGCCCGAGTGCCCTGCGGTGGCCAGGAGACCCCCTTTCCACACAGGAGGAAACAGGCTGGGGCGGCAGCGAAGGAGCTCTCCAGTCCCCCGAGCTGGGCTCTGACCCCAGGGGCGCTGACCCCTGACCCGGAGGATGGGCTCTTGTCCACGCACCTGAAGCCCCGCCCCGTGCCTCTGTTTCTCGCCCACGACTCGGGAGGAAGGGCGCCCTCCTCAGAGGGGTGCAGTGGGACTCAGGGGGCGGGGGCTGGGGAGGGCTGGTAAGGCGTGCGGCCCGGCCACGGGCCAGGGTGGCAGTTCCTGCGTGGGAGGCCGACCACCCGGCCACCGCCCTCCACCCACCACGGCCCCCCACCACTCAGGGGACCCAGCCTGCCCTCCTCTACCCGCCCTGTCGTCCCCGGGTCGAACCCACTTCAGCCCCGTGCAGGGAGTGAGCTGTAGTACTTCACGGTCGGCCAGAACCAGCAGGAGTTCCTTAGGGAGCCTCAGGGGGACAAGGAAATCCGTTCCTGCAGCGCCGCGCCGGCGCGAGCCGTCCTCGGGAAGGCGGAGAGGCCGGCGGGTGGGCGGGCAGGCGGGCTGGCGGGCATGGGGTGTGGCTGGGGAGCGAGCTGGCGCTGCGGGCGGGCGAGCTCACCGCGCAGACTCCCCCAGCTTCCCGGGGGCGGGAAGGACCCCCGAGAGGCGTTCAACGTGGCTTCAATTTACTCCAAATCAATGTCCACGGCCCAGAGCGGGACCAGGGTGAGGCAGTCGCCTCGGGCGTGACATGGATGGGCGCCGGGCAGACACGGATGTTGTAACGGGGTGTTTCAAGGGATTGACCCGGCACACCGGGGCCCAGGGCGGGCTGCTCGCCGTGGGAGGTAACGTGTGCGAGAGCCCGCCCAGCCCCAGGGCGAGGCGGGTGGGGCCGGGTCACGGGAATGCCGAGCCCCCTGTGCTGGCTCCATTCGCCGTGCTGAAGCTTCCTCCGTCGCGGGGTCTCCCGCTCATTCTGGTTCTTCCGACTATCGCACAAACGTGTGACGTCTCCTGACTGCCGAGTTTTTTCGGCCACCCCTTACACGTTGCCCCAGCCTGTCCCAGCCCTGCCACACGCACAGAGGGCGTCCACGCCGGCGCTGGCCGTGCGGGGGTGAGGGTGTGGCGGGTGGGGGCCCCGTGGGTGGCATCCGCCCTCAGCGGGTCCCCGGCTCTCTCCCCACAGCCCAAGGACGACTTCAAGCGGCCCGGGCAGCTGGTGGCCATGCTGGGGGCCCTGTGCCAGGACCCGGACAGGGCCACCCAGGGCTCCAGCGTGGAAGGGCTGGGCCAACTCTACCAGCTCCTGAGGCGCCAGAGGGGTGAGCTTCTGCGGCCGGCGCAGCAGACGCACACCCATGCCAGCGCGCCCCGGCTCAGCTCCCCGAAATCTGCCTGACCCTCCCTCTACCCTCAACCGCAGCACTGCCATGGCCTCACCCGGACCCCCAGAACCTCTCTGGGCCCCGTCCCCAAACTGGGGCACAGGCCTGACCCTGACTGCCAGTGACCCCGCCCTCAGTCCACCCTCGTCCCACACTCACCACTGCCCTATGCCGCCCCGGCCAGCGGAGCCTTCGCGGGTAGGCGCGCTGGCGCCGGAGCGTCCCCAGACCAGCATGGACGGAGCCCTGCTGTGGAGCAGCGGAGACCAGAAGGCCAAGCTCCTCGCCCCCCAGGAGGCGGTGTTCCCGAAGGACCGACTCTTCCAGCTTGGCAGCTCCCAAGTCATCAAGGTCAAAGCCCTTAGAATCGTGGGCAGATCCGGGTGGGGGAACGTGGCCATGCTCTGCTCCGACCCCCACCGCCGCCCCCTCTGACAGGGTTCCGGCCGCTGGTGTGGCCCGGCGGGACCCAGAGGGTCAGTGAGAATTAAAACCCAGGCCAGGATTTCGCCTGCGTCTTTGGTGGCTGACAGGGCCTTGGGAGGAGTCCGGGCCCCTGGCCTGGGACAGGGGAGTTGTGGGGGGAGGGACCTGGAGGGAGGAGCCGGGGACAGACTCGGGCCAGCAGCCTGGGCTGGAGTCCCAGCTGCGTCTCTTGCTGCTCCGACCTGGGGCTGGGACGCGCCCCTTCCCTCTGAGCCGCCCTCTCCCTCGGGTGACACGGGCCCGGTGGCACCAGCAGCGTCCCAGCCTCCGAGAGCCCCCGGCCCCCACTCGGCCGTCACCGTCGGTGTCTCTGAGGCACCAGACGACGCCCCTCCTCTGAGTCTGACTTTTGCAGGATTGTCCTGCCCTCCCCACGTTCGCAGGGGCCTCTCTTAACCCGCTGGAGGTCAAACCCTCCCCCGTGATGGCCTGGCCTTGCTCGCCCGGCCCCCAGTCATCTGGTCTACCTCAGCCAGCTCTTCCTTGGCCAATGGCTATGGGTATCCAGTGGTTCCCCAGGGTCCCTTTCATCACCATGGCGCACTCCCGTATCTCCGTGACACTTCACACGTGATGTGGATTGTGCTCCCCTCTGAAGATGAGCAGGACTGAACCCTGGGTGGGGCTGGGTGCGGGCGGGCTCTGTCGCGTGGGGCCGAGCGGTCTGGTGGGGCGACGTCGGCCTGCCCACTCTTGGCGTCGAGCCCGAGGCTCAAGAAGACCCTGCCCTTGGCGCGCTCGTCCACCCCCCGGTGGACCTTGCCCACTCCCGCCCGGAAGCGGGATCTCAGAGGGCCCAGCACAGGGCCTGGTGGGAGAGCCTTCAGTACGCAGCCATAAAGTTGAACCAAACGACAAAAAGAAGTGGCCGGGGCCCAGCGGGGCCCGAATCTAGCCCCGGCTGCCTCCGGCCCCGAGCGCCCCGGAGCAGCGGCCAGCTGCCAGGGAGGCCGGTCAGGAGGGGAGTAGTGGGGAGGGTCTGCAGCCCTGAGGCCAGAGTGGGGACGCTTGGCTTGGCCTCGGTTCATGCCCAGAAACCTGGGCTGGGGGCAGAGGCAGAGCAGGAGTGAGGGTCCCACTGGCCTCCGGCTCCGTGGGGACCACGGTGAAGGGACCGCAGAGCATCCCGGGCCTCAGGTGGACTCAGTTACGAGGAGCGTAGCGTCCGGGGCCCGGGAAGGGGCATCCTGCCCCAGCGTGCACTGCGCCCTGGAGGACAGCTCCGGCTCTCCCTTGGACAAGGGACAGGGCCCCGACGGGAGGGGTGGGGCCGGTAGCCCACCAGCTCAGGTAGAGCTCAGAAGGTCTGGAGAGCGGACCTGGGGTCTGAGCGAGCAGGGAGCTGGCCTCTGCCCTGGGGTGGGCATAGCGCCTCCCTCTCTGCCCCTGGGCTGTGGTTGGCTCAGAGGCGCAGAGGCGATCCAACTGCAAAATGGGGTACACGAACCGGGGGGCCCGGAGCAGTGGGGCTCAGGAGCACACGCGCGCTCAGGGACTCGAGCCGCCTGGAGCCCAGGAGCAGGGGAACACACAGAGGTGGGACCGGGGCGCCGGGAACAGGCGGCCCGCAGTGACGGCCGCCCCCACGCCTGCTGCTACAGGAGGTCACCAAGTATCTCACACCGGCGGAGCTGACCGACCTCATCTGGACCACCGTCGAAGGCCTGGGCTCCACCAGCCCCTTCCGCGTGCAGGCGGCCGCCAGCATGCTGCTCACCGTCATCCAGGAGCACGGGGCCCAGCTGGAGACCGTGAGGGGGCGGGGAACCGGCGGACGGCCAGCCACGACAGTGCAGGGGGCGGAGGGGTGGCCCAGCAGTCAGCACCCAAGGGCTAGGGCCTCTGGGCCAGGGCAGTGGCCCTGAACTTGAGCGCGATCGGGGAGACACAGACCCGACCCTGACACGTCCCAATGAATGAGGGAAGGAAAGAAGGAAGGGAGAGAGGGTGGGAAGGGTGGGCCCGAGCAGGGGTGTGGGGTCCCGGGCGGTGTCTGCAAGGTCAAGGGGCAAAGGCACATTGACGGAGCAGTAGGACGGGACATGGGGAAGGAGGGGGCACAGCCCACACCCCCCAGGAGCTCTTGGTCTGGCAGAGGGGACAGACCGCAGACAGAGAAGTGCTGGGCCGGCCGCACAGGAAATGCAAAGGCAATGGAGTGTACCCAGCAGGGTGGCGCCCCCAGAAAGAGGGTGGCCGATGGCAGGCGTTGCAGACGAGACCTCAGGCGGGCGACGTTAGATCTGAGCACCGGTGGGTGGGCGGAGGGGCACCCAGCAGCGGGGGGCAACCAGAGCCCAGGTGGCGGGATCAGGCGAGGACCAGGTGGGCGTGTCCAACCCTACTCTCCGGATGACCGGGCAACACGCAGACGGACTCGGAAGGCCGCAGACACCTTGCAGAAGGTCGTGGGACTGTCTCCCCCTCAGACGGGACGCCCCTTCTGACCAGGTGTCCGGGGCTGTGCTGCTCCCTCAGACTACCCTGGACAGGCCTGTGTCCCCCCGCTCAGGAGAGGGCCATGTCTGGAGGGGCTCCACGCCCCCAGGGCAGGACCTCCCTCCCCCAGGAGGCTCACCAGGACCGCCGACCTGACCTCCAACCTCCGACCTCCGCACTCAGCCCGGCGTTCTCCCCCACACTCTCCCTGTCTGCACAGGTGGCCAACCTGGGCCAGGCCATCCACCTGCAGCTCAGCTCTGTCCGTGTCCCCCAAGCCAAGGCCGACGTCCTGCTTGCCATCACCCTGCTGGCCCGGAACCACACCCCCGAGCTGGTGGCTACCTTCCTGGACTTCTCCACACCCCCCGACAGGTGCCCGGCCCCACTGCCCTCGCCGCCTGCCCTGGGGCTCCCCCCTCCCAGTCCATAAGAAGCCCCACGAACCTGCTCAGACCGCTCAGTCACGGCGCACTGCTGGGGGGCGGGGGGGGCTCTGCTGGCCTTCATCCTAGCCACATTCTGCACAGACACCCCGCCCAGCTGCAGCCCCCATTACCTTGCGGGAAGAGAGCCCCTCACAATCCCCCAACCAACACTGGAGCCCACTTCCCTCTCACTCTTCCCCGGACCCCCTTCCTGCTCCCTCCTGGCCACCGCGGCCCTCAGGGTGGGGCCACCTTTCTCCCACAGCCTTCAGGCCCAAGTCTGGAGGGGGGCTGGGTCCTCTTGCTCCCCAAAACCACAGCGGTGAGCCCCAGGCCCTCAGTCCATACCACTCGCTACATGCCACCCCCATGCTCCTCTGTGGGGCCTGGACACGGTAGCCCCTGGTCGCCCCTCCCCCAGTCTCAGGGTGCACGGTCCGTTCCCCGCCCACCTTCTCCCCAAGCCCGCATCCGCTCCCTCCCCGAGGTCCTGTCCTCCTCCTCCCACGGCCACCTCTCCCCTCGGTGCTCTCCCAGACGCCATCCACCGTCCCAGCTCGCTCCCGCTGGCACTCGGAGGGCCTCTGTGCCCCACAGCCTCCAGCCCCCCGCCCGCCCTCCCCCTCTCAGCCCCTCCCCGGTCCCCACCTCCCCCCTTACCAGCACAGACGCAATCTGGCAGTTTCACACACGCTCCCCGAACAAGTCCCCAGTGCCGTGTCCCCCCGCCACACTCAGCTGGCAAAACCCCACTGGGCTAAACCCGGCTGTACCCCCTTGGCCGCTGCAGCCCGGCAGCCTCGTGCAGGAAAAAGCTCCCCGGCACGAGTTTTCGATTGCCAACCACACAGCCGAGAGGCCTGGCCCCGCCCTGCTGCACACCCACCAGACCGGCCTCGGTTGGGTTGCTCGGGTCTCACCTGGGTCCGCGCCGACCTGTCCCGGCTGAGAGCGGGGTGGTCTCGTCTCCTAGAGTCACTGTGCTTCTGCCTGTGTCTCCTCCCGCCTCCTGCGGCTTCCCCTTCACCGAGGCGGCTGCCACGTTGTTGGAGGCGCACGTGTCCGTAAACGCTGAGCGCCCGTCATGAATGGTGACGTTCCGCCGTTACGACCGGTGACGTTCCGCGCTGAAGCGCGCGCTGCCTCGTCACTGCTAATGCTGCGGGGACTTGAGTCCGCTCGGTCTGCTCTCAGGGTCCCCACCTCGGCTCCCTTCATTGTTTCCCGTTTTCCCGGCACGCACGTGCCCATTCTCTCATCTTACCCTTTCGGGATCCAGTTGCATTAGGTGTTATCTTCTACACGGCCTACGCGCGGGTCTTGACTTGTGATCCCAACTGAAACGCCTTTCCTCTTAACAGATGAGTTCATTCCAGTGCGTGTCCTTTATTGACATGACACATACGTGGACGCTCAGCTCTGACCTAACATGTCGGAATTGCGCATTTCGTTACATTTGCCGCATTTATTTTTCTACAAGACGTGCACTCTTTGGTCTGGAGGGCTTTTGAATTCGGGAGAGGTTGTGGGTTTTGCTCCAGTCGTTACCTTTGTCCTTACGAACCTACTTTAACGCCCCCCAGCCCCTGGTTTTATCACTTAACCTTTCAATGCCCGATTTTTCCATTTCTACTGATGCCAACTCCCCTAGACCCGCCAGTGAGGTCACTCTGCCTCTGCGTTCTGGCTCTCGTTTCGTCCCCTGCGGCTGCAAATTTACCCTTCGTCAAAACCTGCCGCCCGGTCAGCGCCCGCATCCCCGCAGCCGGTTTGCGCGTGTCCGCGTGCGCGCCGCCGCAGCCCTCTCCGCCCGAGTCCTCCGTCCGTCTCGCAGCCGGATGGCGCGCATGCTCCCAGAGGAGCGCGCGGCGTCGGACCCAAGCCCCGCCCCCAGGTTCTTCGCGGGGAAACTTGCTTCTGCAACGGACCGGCTACAAAATCCTCGGTTCGCGCTTTCTTTCACCACGTGTTCTACAAGCGCTGCTCCGTGGTGGCCTTGTTTTGTCTTCCAAAAGCCCGATAAGTTATACGATCTTTTGGCCCACCGATGAGGCCGATTTTTTTTCTCCCTTTGTCTCCGAAATGTAACCAGTTTGCTAAGCGCTGTCTCGGAGCCGGTCATTCCTTTTCCCAGGTCCTGGTGCGTCCCTTGAACGTGTGTTTTTGTTTTGTTGCTGCTGTCGTTGTTTCTGAGAAGTTCTCTCGGTTGCAGTTGTAGATGTTAGTTCTGTCCCACTGTAGCCATTCCCCGTCGGAGTGCGGTCATCCCAACGCCGCGCGCCCGGCCGTCCCCGGTCGCCCGCGCCCCCGCGCCCCCCCCCGGCGCCCCCGCGCCCCCCCGCGCCCCCTGCGCCCCCCGCTTCCTCTCTGACCCCTGGCGCTGCTTTCCTGCGCTCACGTTTGTTCTCCGGGCTGCATCACGGCTGCTCCTCGAGGCCCCTCATGAAATTTTCATTCGAGTCTTATCTCCCTGGGGCACCTTGCGGTCGGCTTTCTTTTTTTTTCTGAGATAATTTTGTCATTTCTTCCATCTCTTCCCTGAATTCAATCAACTCTCTTTTCTTCCCTTATTTATGTATCTTTTCATTTATAATCCAAGGCGGGTGTTCATATCTTTAAACGCTCGCTCGCGCGCACTTGGCGGCGCTTGGAGCGTCATCTGACGGCTTTCTCTGCACCGCAGTGGTTTCCATGGAGAGAGTCCCCCCATCCGCCGCCGTGTGCCGATTTCGCCTCCTGATTCCTCTGCAATTACTCCACCGACCTGCTCATTTCGTTCCTGCTCATCTGAGACACGACTGGGCTTTCCGTAGGATTTCAAGTTCAATGGCACCCCCTTCTGTCAGTACAGCAGAACCCGGCCGACTCGGCAGATGTCCTGGTCGGTCTGGTGGGCGGTAGGAGGGCCCCTGTCCCGCAGGGTCCCGGGCCCTCTTTTCTCTTGCAGCCCCTCCAATGTCCCCCCTTTGCGTCTTTCCCTTTTACCACTTAACTTCCAAAAGGGGGCTCTTCTTGCTGCCCTCGCTCTCTCCCTGGAGCTGAGCGTGCTGGGCACTGCCCTTCAGCCTGGACGTGCGTTTTCGCCCCTCTCCTGCCATCAGCTGCCATCGCCTCCTGGGGGGCGGGGGCAGGGGGTCACAGAGTGGGGGTGCCACGCTGGGGCCGGCCGGCATTTTCCTTTTCTGCTCGTAGCGGTGTTGGGTTTGCTGTTCTCCGAGGTCACAGTTTTTGTGTGGTCTCGCTTTCCCCTCCTTCCTTCTCTGTGTTGTTTTTCAGGGACTTTTTTTTAAAGATTTATTTATTTATTTATTTTTAGAGAGGGAAGGGAGGGAGAAAGAGAGAGAGAAACATCCATGTGCAGTTGCTGGGGGCTGTGGCCTGCAACCCAGACATGTGCCCTGACTGGGAATCGAACCTGCGATGCTTTGGTTCCAAGCCCGCGCTCAATCCACTGAGCTACGCCAGCTAGGGCTGGAACTTTTTTTTTTTTTTTTACAGAGGGGGGAAGGAAGGGAGAGAGGGAGAGAAACATCGATGTGCTGCCTTCTCTAGGCACCCCGACTGGGGACCCAACCCAAAGCCCAGGCACGTGCCCGGACCGGGAATCAAACCGGCGTCCTCTCACTGCATGGGGTGACGCCCCACCCACTGAGCCCCAGCAGCCGGGGCCTTCCAGGAGAGCTGGAGGGGCGGGGACCCCGGCAGCCACCCCGGTCTCCGGATGTCTCGTCGCTGGTTTCTGTGTGTTGAAATGTGTTCCTGACTTCCTCCCTTCTCAGAAGCACTTTCCACATTTCCGTGTCCGTGCCGTGGGAGAGCGTGTGACACGGGTGATGCCTTCCGCCTGGCTGTGTGTGGCTTCTCTGTCACCAGAGGGCACGACAGCCTGAGGACATTTCTAATTTAAACTCCCTGCCGGAGGTCTCTGGGGGCCACACGTGCTCGGTGCGAACCAGACCCCATAACAGGTTTTGCGCTTGAGTCCTCGGCAGAGCCCGGCTCCTCGCACGCCGCGGGCTGGCCGAGGCACGGGGGGTCCTCACTGCACCTCCCCGCACGACCAGCATCGGGTGTTGTCACATTCACACCGCAGACAGCCCTGGGGCCCCGGCTGTGGTCGCACTCCCATCCCGGGTAGTTTTTTTTCTTAGACCAGAAAGAATACGGTGCAGCCTGAAAGTGTGAGCAGAAACCGTGTGGTTCGTACCGCCCAGCGCTCTGGGGTCCGGCTTTGTTTCTCAGCATTGCGTGTGCGACTCATGCCTGAGCTGCACGGCTGGCCCCAGGCAGCCGCAGCTCCGGGTCCGCACCCCTTTCTTGCCGAACCTTCCCGACGGCCCCTCTTAAAACTGCCCATGCCAGAGGCGCCTCCCACTGCCCCCCCTACCCCGCTTTCTGCACCTGGGGCCTCGCCCACCCTCGTCCGCTGCCCGTGCCAGACCAGGGGTGCCACGCCCACACTGGGCCCTGCTGCTCGCTGCTGGGTGCTCTGGGGCCTGCCTGTGTGGGACAGCGCTCAGCACACACTTGCTGACTGAGTGACGGACACCCACAGGGAGCAGACTAGACACCTTGGCCCCTGGGCGCCCTTGGCCCTGGAGAATCATCTCACTTGAGCCTCTGGAGACAGCTTTGTGCCAAGGAGGTAAAGGGACTTGCCCAAGGTCACACGGCCAGCCTGGAGCAGGGAGGGCATCGGAGCCCAGACCCCTCTGACCCCAAAGGCCCCAGGTGGGCCGAGACGCCACTCGGGGGTCTCCCGGAGTCCCCTGAGCTGTTATGCCCACCCAGCCCAGGGTCGGTTGGGACGGGGTGGTTTTCCCAGGGCTCCAGGGTGGCCCCTCGTGGTTCTGTCTTAAAGCTGGGCATCGGAGCTCAACCCATCCACCCACTGTGGCCTCCCAACCCCGCCCATCATTCCAGAGTCCCCCCTGCCCCTCCAGGCCCCGAGACCCAACACTCAGGACCACAGACCCCCAGCACAGGAAACAGAGCACTGGTCACCCACCTCTTGGGGAGCCCCAGGGCTGCCTGCGTCCCTGGGTCTCACCGGGCCGCTCCCTAGGACCAGGCAGAAGGGCCGCACAACCACGCAGGCCTGGCCTCCAGTCCCAGTTCCCCACGTAACAAAACAGAGCCCTGATCAGGCCCGGTCCTCAGTTTCTCCACCTGCAAAATGGGCATGGGACACTGCAGAGCTCCCTGCACATGCCAGCAATGGGTGCTCACTTGGCTCTGGTTGGACCGGAGTGGGGAGCTGGACCCTGGCAAACCCAGGCCCGGGAGGAGGCAGCCAGGCGGGCTTCCAGGAGGAAGAGACTGTGCGGGGAGCCCTGCGGCAGAGCAAAAGTGGGCTGGGGTGGGGGGGTGCAGGGGGCATGCTCCGAGCATGGGCCCAGAGGCAGGGTCCTGAGGAAAGAGGACAGGCAGGGGCTGGAGGTCAGAGGGCAGGAGTCGAGGACAACGGCCCTGAGTGCCCGCTGGACTTGCCCTGCCAGTTTGGGACGGACAGAGTTGGTGACAGACAGAGTCAGAATCTTCGGCTGAGCCTGTTTTTCCCCTGAAAGTGGGGAGACCCAGGAATAGGGACCCGGGGACACTTCCATGTCCCCCTCCCCCCGCCACATCACTGCAGGCCCCGGAGACCCCGGTCACTGCGGCGCGGCCACGAGGCTGAGCCCTCACGCCCTCTCTACCCGCAGCCACACCTTCCAGCTGTGGAGGGCCCTGGGGGCGGAGCTGTCCGGGAGCCGCAGGGTGCTGGCCACGCTGCTGGCCTGGCTGCAGGACAGGCCGCTGCCCACCCAGACCAGTGACAGCGGCCCCCCGCCTAAGGAGAAGACCCACCTGCGCTCGATGGCGGTGAGTCTCTGCCCCCACCCCCAGGGCTGTCGCCCACTGCCACTGGGCTGAGGTGACTCCACAGGGGCATTCCACATCAGCAGGGTCTGGGCGCCCGAGGTGGGCAGGGCCCCAGGGAGGGGGCGCGCCCTGCCTGGCCCCCTGGTCCCATCCTGGCTCCCCCTTCCTAGCTGAGGGCTCTGGACCCCTCTGTGTGGTGGGACGGGTGGTCCTGCAGGGCTGGGGCGGGCGCTCAGGCGTGTGGTGTGGTCGTGGGACTCAGGCCTCACCGTGCAGATGCCACAGGAACACAGGGGCTCCTCCGGGCTCCGGCAGAGCGGCGGGCGTGGAGGGCGGCTCGGGCTCTGGGGCTGTGAGTTCTGGAGACACCTTAGAGGCGGCCTCCCACGGCCCCCACCGCCCTGTCAGAACCTGCCCTGCCCGCCCCCCTCCCCCAGCTTTCCCCACAAGCCCAGGCCCTGCTGGCACAGCCCCGGGGCAAGGAGCTCCCTTCCTAGCCCGGCCACAGGTCGGCCAGTAGGCCTGGCCCCGGGCTGCAGGCCGAGGGAGCTTCCCTGTCCCCTGCGCCCCCACAGGCCATGAACACACTGTGCAAGCTGCAGCTCACCCGAGAGTTCAAGGACACGGTGCAGGAGGCCTACCCCCAGCTCCTCCTGGCCTTCCTCGCCCAGGTGCACTACATCTTGGAGCTGCACCTGCCCAGGGAGCCCCCGCCCAGCCAGAAGGCCCAGGAGGCGGCCGTGCCCAGCCCCCAGAGGTAGGGTGTCCGCAGGACCTGGGGCTGGGCAACTCTGCGCCACCGCGGGGCACTCGCTCTCGCAGCTCCCGGGTCCAGGAGTCCGAGGCGTGCACAGGGCCGCGCTCCCTCTGGACCCTGGACGGAGGGCCCCTCCGGCCCCTCCCCGCTCCTGGCTGGAGCACGGTCCAGCCGCTGCCTAACTCCTGAGGGCAGGTGTCCTTCTGCGTCCCCTGTGCATGTCACTCGACGCTGGGACAGCCTCGTGCGGATGTCCTGGCCGGTCCAGGACCCTGAGTGGGAGGGTCAGGGTCGCGCCTGCCCCGCGCAGCCCCAGCGGAGGTGCGGCCGGCAGCCTCGGTTCCCTCTGCCCGCACGGCGGCTGGGGGACCCCGCCAGCACGTCCTGAAGACCGCAGGGGCCCGGCGCTTTTCATTTGTTTGTGTTATGACGCGCTCCCCGCGATTTGTCAGCTTTAACGGCTCTCCCCAAGGCACGTCGCTGGGAACAAGTGCCGCTCCTCCTCACATTGCTTCTGAATTCGGAAGTGCATCAAGTTCCTTTCCCAGTCAGATCACCTGCGAGAAATGCATGAATCTTCCCTAACGAGCTGATGCGCCGTCCTCCGCCCCGAACGCCGCGGGAGGGGCGGGAGAAAGCCGCCGTGTAGGCCCCCCATCCCAGTCCCTCCGCTTCCCCCACCCACGGGGGCGGCTGCCCGTCTCCCTGCGCTGACCCGCCCCGCCCCTACCGCAGAGCGAGCCACAGAAGCCCGAGGACCCCAGATCAGTCCGCACCACCCTTCCGCAAGCCCTGGCGTGGCTGCGGGGACAGGCGACTGTGAAGCCAGAGGCTTCCCAGAGGTGTCACAGAGGGGACAAATGCCACTCTGCCCCAAGTCCCCTCCTCCAGACTCCGTCCCTACTCCGTGGCTGAGCCCAAGGACCTGGAAACCGCTGCCTCCCTGAGCGGCAGGGCTCGGAGCCAGCAGTCCAGCCAGCCCTGGCCGGCACGCGGGTGGGCGCCACCAGGGACTCACTGGAGTGGCCTGTCACCCTCTGACCCTTGCTCTTGCAAATCTGCTCACAACATGCCTGCTTGGAGCTGATGGCCCACACACCCAGGGTGGTGGGACCGAGCCCGGGGTGGCCTGCACAGGGACCAGCCGTGGAGTGGGGCGCCCTGCTTTCTGTGGGCCCATGTTCCCAGCCCGCCCCTGAGCCCTCCGCCGGCGGGGCTTGGGACCGTGGCCACGATGCCGCAGTGCAGGCTGGGAGCGAGGGGTCTGGATCGGCTCCACTCCTGCCGCCCCCTCCGGCCGGGCTGTGTGACCGGGACGGGCTTCCTCCTCTGTAGGGAGGGTGGGGTCGCTGCCCAGTGCGCGGGCGCGCATCAGCGGAGCGGCCCCTCTGAGAGCGGAGCAGTGGCAGGAGGTGCAGGGGGGCCCTCCTCTGGGCTTCGGCAATGCCGCCCGGCCCAGCCCGCCTCCTCTCCCCGCTGTGGGCTCTCTGGGCTCTCGGACCCACGTTTAAAGGGGACCCTTGCCCGAAGCCCAGCGGGGACCCCCTCAGCCTGTGACTCGGAAGCCTGCGGGCTCTGTGAACAGGGGCGGGTGGGAAGGAGCTGCAGGGGGCGGGGCTGGCCCTGTGACCCTGCCGCTCCCCTGCAGCCTGTCCCTGGAGGCACTGAGGAGCCTGCTGGCCACCACGGGCCCCTGGCAGAGCTTCGCCCAGCTGGAGCTGCAGGACGCCTGGCGCCTCTTCGCCACTGCGGACACCTACCCGAAGGGCGTGGGCCTCCTGGCCAGGTGGGGGCGGGGCCTGGCAGGGAGGGTTGGCTGGACGAGGCGACCCCAGGAGCGAGCTGGGGGAGCAGCCCCAGGGACTCATGCGTGTGCACGGCAGATGCACGCCCCCACGCCCAGTCCCACACGCACACGGAGAGCCCGTGGGTGCAGGCGTCTCCCCGGCCCTGGCCCAGCCCCAGGTCTTTTCGGCACAAGGGCCATGCCTGCCCCTGTGTCCAGCACACCCAGCCCAGGCCTGGCGAGTAGCGGGTGCCGAGGGGCTGGGAGCTCGCTCTCAGGGGTGGTGACCACCCCACCTGTCTGGGTCGGGTCGTGGCAGGACAGCGGGCGCCAGGTTCTCCTGCGAGCCAGGCCCTGTCCTCTCCCCCTGCCCCCAGGGCCATGGTGCAGGGTGCCTGCGGGCAGGTCAAGGGCGTGACCCGCCAGCTGCTGCACAGCCTGCAGAGCCCGGAGGGGCGGGAGAGGAAGGTGGCCATCCTCATCCTCAACGAGGTAGGTGCCGGCCTAAGCCCTGCCCCCAGCTGCCCCAGCGCCCCATCGGGACCCACACGAGGACCCCACCCAACGAGGGGCAGGCCCCCCCAACAGACCCCCAGCACCCCTCCTTCCCACTCGGGGGCCCCTGCCTGGATCCCACACCTCTGGGGCCCAGGACCCCCTCCCTCGCTGGCCTCAGCCCTGCAGGAAACCCCACCCGTCCCCCTCCTGGGACCCAGGTCCACCCCTGGGTGAGACCTGAGCAGAGGTGGCGGGAAGCAGCGGGGGGCCGGGTGCAGCCGGCTCTGCAGTGGTGGGTTGGGGGCGGCGCAGAGAGTGGGGGTCTCGTGGCATCCTACAGACTGTAGCTCGGTCCCGCTCCCCACCCCGCCCCGCCCCGCCAGCAGGGATGTCTGGGTCACCCTCCGTGGGGCCCTGTCCCAAAGGGGTGCCATGGGCCAGGCCGGTGAGGGACGCTGGCCCCAGCCTCGCTGTGTGGCCTCAGGTGAGGCCCTTTCCCCTCTGAGCCTCAGTTTCTCCATCAACCTGCTGAGGGCTGGAGCCAGCTCGGAGGTGGGTTTCAAACACTTGCTAACCAAGATGCCCAGAGGGTGCTGGCTCGCCACCCCCGACCCCGAACACCCCACAGACCCCAGTCCTCGAGCCCCGCTCCTGGACGAGGGCGCCAAGCCTGAGCCGCCTGCCCTCGGGGGCCCCCAGTTCCTCCACAGCCCCGCCCTGCTGGAGGTGCTCCCCGAGCAGGACGCCCTGACCCTGCTGGCCCAGAGCCTCAGGGACCCCAGCCCTGAGGTCCGGGCGCTGAGCCTGCAGGGCCTGAGCAACATCCTCTTCCACCCCGAGAAGGTGAGTGAGTGTGCGGCACCTGCGGCTGGAGCGCATCTGCCAGCCCAGAGCGTCCAGGGCACCAGTCTGACCCCAGCTCTGCCCCTCCCAGCCGCGTGGTTAGGGACACACGACTTCACCTCCCTGGGCCTCGGTCTGCTCATCTGTAGGCTGGGGCCAGGCTGGCCCCACCCCCCGCAGGGACACAGGGCCGGTGCCGGCACACAGGCCAGGGTAGCGGCCTGGGAAGGCACGTCGCTGGGGACACCTGGGTTTCTGGGCCCAACCGGCAGGGCAGGAACTGGGGGGCACAGGGCACCCCCGGCCCACGGCGCCCGCCATGCCCGCCCTCCACAGGGGAGCCTGCTCCGCAGGCAGCTGCCGCACTTCCTCAACGGCTTCTTCCGGAACGGCGAGCGCGAGGTGGTGCACCTCATGGGCACCGTGTCTGAGGTGCTGCACCGCCTGGGGGCGCAGGGCGCGGGGGCCCAGAGCCTCTCGGTGGCCGTCAACACCCGCTCCTTCTTCGACGACGTGAGTGTGCTGCAGCGGGCGTGCAGCACCCCCACTCCTGGGCCTGTTCCTGAAAGGCAGGGAGAGCCCTGGCTGCCCCCAGGCCAGGGGGCCGGGCTGGCTCCACGGCCACCAGGTGGCGCTCGGCCCTCTCCGCACAGCCCCGGTTCAGGGTTTCAGGCCCCAGCGGGCCTCCCAGCAGATGGGTCTTCACGTTTCCCCTCACTGAGAAATGGGGGATTAAGTCTCGCCCCCACAATGCACTCGTGACCCTTGGGTTGGCAGGGCGTGATTGCGTGAGGGTGGCCTGGGACGCAGCCCGCCAGCCCCGCCTGGGGCGGGAGCACGGCCCTGCCCTGGCGGCCCCGAGCCTGGAGAAAGCGTCCTGCCCAGGGAGCTGAGCCCGTGCCGCAGCAGCCCGGGGGGGCCCCACGCTGGGTGGGGGCGGGGGCCTGCCGGCAGGTCTGGCGGTGACTGTGCGCCCCTGGCCTGCAGGAGCGGGAGGGCATCCGGGCGGCGGCCATGGCGCTGTTCGGGGACCTGGTGGCAGCGACGGCGGGCAGGGAACCCAGGAGCCTGTGCACCCAGGTCCACCAGAGCCTGGTGCCCCTGCTCCTGCACCTGAAGGACCGCTGTCCGGCCGTCGTCACGGTCAGCACCCGCCGAGGGGCCTTGGCCTTCGAGGGGCTGGGGACCCACGGGTGGGCAGGGGTCGTGGGGCCGGGGGTGCTGTGGAGTGAGGGGTCGCCCCTGGGGCAGCAGGCTTGGCTCCTGCACCGGTTTCCTCTCCACAGTCTGCCCGCTGTCCCCGTGTGCACGCTCACACACACGCACACGCACACACTCACCTGCCCGCCCTGTGTGCACACACACACCAAAGCACGTGCACGCACCCAGGTGTGCCCAGGCAGCTGTGCCTCCTGGGAGCGGGACCAGCCTGTTCCGCCTACGGCCGAGCCCCCGGCGCCTGGCACCTGGCGGGCGCCCAGGTTGCTCATCACACCTGTTGAAATGTGGGTTCGGCATCTCACCTGTGTGCCAGCCTGTGCCCTAGCCCGGTCCTTTAAGACACAGCTCGGCCTTGCCAGGCCCCCTGGCCATCAGGGAGCTGGACAATGAGCAGCCGGTTCGGAAACAAGCCAGGGGAGCTGCCGTAGTGCAGCCTGGGACCCCGGGGCTACGGCTGGGGGGCGGGGCTTCCCCGGAGGCAGTGAGCAGGAGCCCGGCGGGTGCCGCTGGAGGACAGCAAGGCAGGAGGGTGACTGGCGGGGAAGGAGCACCCTGAACCCTGGTCCCCTGGCTGTGAGCCCCCCGGCCCCCTGTGACCCTCCCCCGCCGTCCCCACAGCAGGCCAAGTTCGCCCTCTACCGCTGCTCCCTGCTGCTCCGCTGGCGGCTGCCACACACCCTCTTCTGCACCCTGGCCTGGGAGAGGGGCCTCAGCGCCCGCCACTTCCTCTGGTCCCGTCTGGTGAGGGGCCTTGGGCGGCCGCTGGGAGGGGCAGGTGGCGTGGGGGAGCTGACCCCAGGCCATGACACGTGGGCTGTCCTCGGCCAGCTGACCCAGGGGCAGGAGGAGTTCGGCATCCACTTGTCACAGGCCCTCAGCTACCTGCACAGCCGCCATCACCACCTCAGGACCTGGGCGGCGCTCTTCCTAGGTGACCGGGGGCGCCTGGACTCAGGGACCCCCCCATGCCTGCCCCACCTGGGTACCCTGGCCCCTCCTGCCCTGCTCCTCCCACCTCGGAAGGGCAGGGGTGGGTCTGGGGCCCCCCAAGAAGACAGGGAGCCCGTGAGCCCCATCGGCCGGCCAGCACGCTCCCCTCGTCCGTCTCACAGGTTACGCCAGCTGCTACCACCCCCAGGCCGTGTCCCAGGTGGTGAACTCGGGGGACGTGAAGCTGCTGTGCTCCAGTGAGCAGCCCCCACCCGCCCCACGCCACGGGAAGCTATGGGTGGGCGCCCAAGTGTGAGGGGCTTGGGGCGGGTGGGGTTGGGGACAGAAGCCCCCCCAGGCTTAAACGGTGGAGGAGGTGGAGCCTGGGCCCACCCTGCCCCTCCACCCCACCTGAGGGAGCACAGGGCCCACTCCTCCACCCGGGCAGGGGTGGGGGTCGCCCCTGATGGGCCCCTCCCTCCTGGAGCTTTCAAAGGTCTTCAGAAGGACCCGGAGCCCGGCCTCCAGGAGTTCGCCACCAGGCAGCTCAGCCTCCTCCCACGAGTGGCGGCCGGCCAGGAGTGACCGCCCGCCGCCCCCCCCCAGCCTCCCCTCCCGCGCCCACCGCCCGGCCAGCGCCGCCCCTCTACACAGAGCTCGGTCGCGTAACATTTTTCCATTGGAAAGAAAAAAGTAGATTCAACAAGGAAGTGTCACACCTGTCGGCACCTATGGGCTCCGTGCCCACCCTCCCCGGGGACCACGGCCAGCCCGGCACACACTGACAAGGCAGGGGACGGGGCCAGGCTGGGGGTGGGGGGCCCTGCAAACGCCAGCCACTCCCCTCACAGAGGCCCGGGGCTGCCCCCAACCCGAGCCCAGGCCGAGGCCTGCCAGTACCTGAGCACTGCGGGCACCCCAGGACAGCGGGCCCCGAATCCCAGCAGGGGGGGCCGTTTGCCAGGGCGCCCCCACAGGCTTCCCGCTATCTCCCGCTCAGAGCTCCAGGCGGCCGGTCCGGAAGGGGCACTGTGGGCCTAAGCCCCCTCCACCCTCACCGCCGTCCTCCTGGCCCCAGTCCAGGCTGGCACCTGGCTGGCAGCAGAACCAGCTGGGGCCCGGTCGCACCCTCCTCATGCGGCCTGGCCACCTGGAGGGGCTGTGTGGCCTCTGCTGTTGCACCTGTGAAATGGGCAGGAAGATCTCCCGCCCCCCCAGCCCCTCAGAGGGCTGGTCCAGAGGTCTTCCTGGCAGTGCCCCTGACTTCCTGGGGGCCCACCTGACCTCCGGCAGGCCCTCCCCTCAGCCTTGGTTTTCCGTCCTGTGAAGTGGGCAGCGTGCCCTTCCCTGGCCTCATCCCGGGAGGCCCCTCTCCGGACCAGACCAGCCGGCAGCCCCACCCAGGCCATCCCCCAGCCTGGCCTGCTCCCCTGCCTGTCCTCTCCAGGGCCCCACGGGCCCCTCCCACATCTGCTCAGGCCACCTCCCACCGGGAGCACCTCCCCGGCCGCACCCGCTTTGGCCCCTCCACATCCGTGGAGGACTGGGCTGCCTGTCCCCTGCCCCCAGCTCCTCAGAAGCTCCTGGGTGGCCGGGCGCCCCGCCCCCTGCATGAAACAAGGGGCTGGGGAGGAGGGTCCCCTGGGTTCAGCCAGTGGGTGCGATCTGGGGCTGCTGTCTCCCCTAAAAAGAGCTTCCGTGGTCTGACCCATCGTCTGCCCTCTGGAGGCCCCTGGGCGGGTGGGCCCCTGGGCAGGTGGGCCCCCCTCAGGGAGCGGAGACTCCGAGGGGCTGAGTCCGGCAGTGGGGAGGGCCAGGCGCCCCCAGCAGGCGGCCCTGCTCTGCACGGCCAGGCGCCCGGGGCCTGGCCCAGCGCTGGCACCCCCCCGCCGCAGCAGGCCGGGGGACCGAGGGGCCGGGTCTGCATCCCTGCTGGCCCCCCGCCCAGGGCCCCAGCAAGGCGCAGCCCCGGGCCTCCCCGGCAGGCACAGAATGGGCCCAGGTGGGGGACGCCTGCCTCGTCAGGACCTGAGTCTCTCCCCAGGCCTCACCCTGGGGCTCCCATTCCTGGGCCCACCTCCTCCCCGGGGAACAGGAGCAGGGAGGGCGAGGGGCGCTGGGCCAGCCCCCATCCCAGGATGGGTGCAGGGTGTAGGGGCGGCGAGGGAGGGGCGGGCCAGGCAGGTAGATACAGGTGGGGGTGGCCTGGGCACAGGGAGCCGAGTTGGCCACAGTCCCCCACGCCCTCCAGTCCTCGGAGCCGGAGACAAGGGCACCTGCCGGGGGCAGCACTGGGCGGCCACTCACCGGCCACCAGGCCCCGCCTCCAAACATCAACAGGGCAGCCAGGGGGCCCCACCTGCTCTGCGGTGTCAGGGAGGTCCCCCGCCCCTACGCGGGAAAGCGCAGGGACCCAGCACGGACACCAAGGGGCGGCCTGGAGCAGCCTGTATAGCGGCCTCCCTGGGCCGCCGCCCCCCCCCCCACCACTGGCCGGCCCTGCATTCCACACTCCACACACACACACACACACACACGGCCACAGGGTCCTGGTTTATTGCCTTCGAGTGTCCAGAACCACTGGCCGCCTCAGACCCAGTGGTTTCAGGGGCTGAGAGCGGGTCAGGGCTCGCAGGGGCTGTGGGGGAGGGGAGGGCCCGGTGGTTAACAAGCACGCCCGCCTCCAACAACACGCCGGAGAAGAGAGCCGGGCAGGGAGGGTGGTGGCAGAGAGGCCGGGGCCCCGGACAGACAGACAGACACAGGGCGGACAGGAGACAGAGGGAGAGGTCGGCCTAAAAAGGGGCAGACAGGCAGACGGACACGGGGACAGACGGGCGGAGAGAGAGGCCCCCGAGGGTGCCTGGGCGGAGCGGGGCGGGAGGCGGGGGCGCGGGGAGCTGCTGGGGGGGCGGGGCGGGCGGCCCCGGCCCCGGCGCCCGGGCTACATGACACAGCACCGGGCCTTGTGCGTGTGCGCGTCTTTGAACCGCAGTCTCTGTCTGGGCCGGTACTTCTCCAAGTAGGTGAGCTGCTTGCTGTTGATGGCTCCGCGCCGCTTCCTGGGGAGACGGCCGGGGGCGGGGTCAGGCGGGGCCGGCGCGGCCGCCCGCCCTGCCCCAGGGAGCCGCAGGCCCGAGGGGCCACCGTCCTGCCGGGCCTTTGCCTGAGCTGCTCCCACTGCCAGGCCCACCCTCCCCAGTCGCCTGCGGTCACCCCCGCTGGCCTTCTCGACTCACCTGGCCGTCCCCTCCTGTGGGCTGACCCCCTGAGCTCCCTCCCTGCGTGGTCCCCACCTCGGTGGACGAGGCCCCCATGTTTAGTACCCAGGCGCCCCTGCTCTCCCGGCCACGGGCCGCTGGGGGACCAGCACGTGAGGCCTGCACAAGCCTGCGGCCTGGGAGGGAGGGACCTCAAGGGACGGGGAGTGGCGGGCGCCTAGGGCTGTGCACCCAGCTCCTGGCAGGGCAGCCGTCCCCACTGCCCGGGACCTCGGATGTGACCACGGACTCGCTCTGATGAAATGTGAGTGGAAGAGACATGCGTGTGCTAGGCAGAGCTACGAGAGCCATCGTGCGGTCCACTGTGGCTGTCCCTGCGAGCTGGTGACACCACGAGGGGTGGGCTGCCTCACCGATGGCATCAGATGGGTCCCAAGAGCAGGGACACCCTGCGTGGCTCTCAGGGGCCGGAGTCGGGCCCACTGGCTCCTGCAGCAAGGCCCGGCCTGTCCTGACTCTCTGGGCCTCGAGCTGAGGGACCACAGCCCAGCCCTCCCCTCCCCTCCCCCTCCCCTCCCCCTCCCCTTGGCACAGCCCCGCCGCAGTCCCGGGGGACAGGCTGCACACAGAGGGCAGTCCTCTGGGCCCTCGGGGCCAGGAGGCGTTTCAGGGGCTGTCCGGCCGCAGGGTCAGGAGTGCCGCTGGCAGGGCTTTGGGCCCCGCAGGGTGGGGAGCCCCCTCGGCCCTGGACCCCTAGGCTGGCACGAACCAGCCTCACTTGGCCACTCACTGTCGAATGAACTGGATGGCGTCTTCATACTTCATCCCGCTCTCAATGAGGGCCAGGGCCACGAGGACAGGAGCCCTGGGGACGGACAGCAGGGCCGGTGACCCAGGCCTCAGCACCTCCCTCCAGACAGGCTGCCGGCTGGAGACACGGGCCGGAGCCCACCCACTCCCGTAGCCGGCTGCCCAGACTCCCCCGGTGCCCCCCCTCCCCTGAGAAGGGCGCAGGCTCGAAGCTCAGCTCCACCAACTGGTTCAAATTCCATTCCCTCCTAGCCCTGCTGTGTGACCTCGAGTAGGCCAGGCAACCTCTCTGTGCTGGGCTCGGGATGAGAGCTTGACACTCAGCTATCAGCCCTGCCTGGCCGGTCTTCCCTCTGCAAAACTGGTTGCTTTTGCCAACCCCAGGCTGGGTGGTGGGATGGGGGTCTTTGTGCCTGGGGAGGGGTGGGGCCGACAGCTCCTCCCTGCCCAAGGGCGGGGACAAAGCTGCAACCACAGCAGGAGGGACTGGAGTCAGACTTCAGGAAGCACTTCCTCCCTGTGAGGTGGCAGGAGGCCCGCGTCTGGGCATCCTCTGGAAGGTGGTCCCGTGGGACGTGGGCTCAGCACCCACAGGCGAGAGCGAGTCGAGCCACACGATCCCTGGTCAAGCAGGCCCGCCCCACCCCGCCCCGCCCGCTCACCGTCCCAGGCCGGCCACGCAGTGCACGGCCACGCAGCTGCCGGGGTCATCGCAGAACTTGGCCTTCAGCAGGCTCAGCCAGTCCTCCACCACCTTGCCGGGCGGCGGCGCCCCGTCGTCAAACGGCCAGTCCTGCAGGGGGAGCCGCCCGTGAGGACCCCGCCCCAGAGGGGGGTGGGCCAGCAGGCTCCCCCCACCCCCCCCACCAGCCTCTCCCCAGCCGCCAGAGATGGCAACGCTGGACCAAAAGCGACCCACCTCGCTGCCTCACGCCTGGCCGACCCTCCCCACCGCAGTGGAAGGAAGGGAAGTGTGCTGAGAGGCCCTGCACGTGCTCTGCTCCCAGTCCCTCTGAGCACCCACGGGCGAGGAGCCGGGGTCACGGGACCGGGAGGGGCAGAGGCGGGGCTCAGGCCGAGCCTGTGTGACCCCAAAGCTCCGGTTCCCCCTGCCGTCCCAAACAGCTAAGTGGAGGTTACAAAGGGACAGCTGCCAAAGACGGGGTCCCTGCAGGGACAGGGCCCTCCAGTGCCCAGGTGGCTGAGGCCCGAGCAGAGCTGGGCAGCACCTGCCGGACACCCTCCGTGCCTCGAGCCGCCGCCGGGCAGCTCCGTGCCAGGGAGGAGCCCTGAGACCCGCCCACGGGGACATGGCAGCACAGCCACCACCCCACCCCCCCCGCATGGGCTCGGGTCCCCAGGGCCAGGGACCAAGGGAACGGCCCAGGCGTCTCTCCCACGGCCTCCACGGACGGCCGCCCCAGGGGCCCGCCAGGTGCGCCTGCCCCTCCCCCACAGCACCTGCTGCCCGGCGACAGGGCCCCAGGCACAGGCAGCCAGCCCCTGAGAGGCGGCCTCAGGGCCAGGCCCAGGGCTGCTGGCTCCCGGCTTGGCCCGCGCTCGCTGAGTCTCCGGCACCTGCACAGCGGGGCCATGTCCCTGCCGGGCCTGGCTGCGGGGGTCATAGCCCCTGCCCCCAACGGAGAAGCGCCCCAGCAGGGGGTGTCCTTGCCAAAGTGCCACTCCCCGGGCGGTCCCAGTGGCCTCAAACGGCCACTGACCCCAGCCTCAGGTTGCCCACAACCGAGCCACCCCGGGCCTGTCCCGAAGCTAAGAAGCCGAGGCCCTGCCTGCCCTGGCACTCGGGGCGGCCCGTGGCAGGGCTCAGCAGCCCGAGCGCTCCGCCTCCCGGGCCAGGCCGGCCGGGGACGCGCTCTCCGGAGGCGGGGCCGGGCTGCACAGAGAGGAGGGGACCCACTTGAGGTCACACAGCCGGACGCCCGGGCCTCCCCGAGACCTGTCCGCACCTCACCCGGCCCAGGTGCGCACCTGCCGGGCGGCGGGCGGCACGCGGGAGGGCTGAGGGCGCCGGCCTCCCAGCACCGCCCAGGCGAGAGGGGCCCCTCCCCACCAGCAGAGCCCCCCCCCAGCCCGCACCACGCGCCCCTCACCACGACGGTGATGCCGTCCTTCTCCAGCAGGGCCTTGTCGTAGGTCACCTCGCACACCCGCACCACGGTGGTGGCCCCGTACTTCTTCAGGTCCTGCAGGGGGGGCGGGGAAGGCCAGGCTGGGCTGCAGGGCTCGGGGCATGACCCCCTGACCGGGGCCCGGCTGTCCGGGCCGGCTCACCCGGGCGGAGAGCCAGGGGTGCAAGAGCCCCCGGGGTGGCCTTCGGAGCTCCCGGGTTTGCTGGGGGCAAGCGCCTTTCCTGATGCTTCCCAGGCAGCGCCGCCCCGGCGCGCCGCACAGAGAGGAGGTGCCCCCACCGCACCCGGGCTCCTGGTGACCGCAGCCTCAAGCACATCACCCCCTCCTCTGGGGGCTCGGGACCCAGCAGGACCCCATTCTCCACACAAACCTCCTAGGTCCCCCAGCAGGGACCCGACACCACCAGCCCACCCGTGGGCCCCGACACAGCCCCGGCTCTGAGCAGCCCCCCTGGCTGGGGACAAGTACAGTCTGGCCAAGGGCTCCTCCAGACCCCACACAGAGGCCCTCAGTCAGTCCGGGAGGGGCAGGGCCCCGGGGGCAGGGGACGCCAGGGGGTGGGGCTCGGGGAGAGCCGCACGTGTGCTGAGCTGGTGGTGGAAGGGAGGCGGCCCCACGCGGCGGCAGGGAAGCCCCAGGGAAAAGGTCGAGGCCGCTCCCAGCCAGGCCCAGGGTATTTATACCCGGGGGGCGGGGGAGGGCAGGTGTCCCCCCACCGGCCACGTGCAGGAGCTGCTCCCCCCCCAGGGCTATTTCAGGGGTGGTGAGGAGTCAGCTGCTGGGCCTCCCCGTCACGGGACAGGGACACCGGGCACAGTGAGGTCAGGACAGAGCACCTCCGAGAATTTGGGGGCGGGGGTGCAGGGTTCGAGGTTGCGGGGCGCCCTAGATCCCTCGGTGCCCCCTGGGGTCGAAGCCTTGACCCCAGTCACATGCTGACCCTTGACCCTGGTCTCCCACGAAGCCCGGAGCCCGACCACAGGCTGTGCGCTGCCCTCAGCCCCCTCCCAGGGCCTGCCGTGGCCTCAGGGGTCCACAGCCTGGAAGGGCCCCTGGCTCACGTCCGGGGCCCAGGACCCCGCTGGCGAGGTGCCCACTGCCTGCCCCGTGCAGTTCTCAGGGCCCCCCTGCCCCGGTCTCTGTGTGATGGTGACACGCACTCACGCTGCACAGGGGAGACGCCGAGGCCACCGACAGCTCCGCACACGGCACGGCCCCCGACCCGCACCCCAGGCTTCCGCCAGGGGCCCGGCGAAGGGGCGCAGGCTCTGCAGACACGCCTGGTCCCATCCGCTGGGGCTGCGAGCAACGCCCTGTGGCCCTCGGACCCCCCGGCTCGGACCCTGGCCCAGCCCCCCACACACGGACACCGGCAGCCCGACGCCCCCCACCCCCCCCGAGGCCTGTGCTGACCCGAGGCCTCCACCAGAGCCTGTGGGCTTCCTGTGGCCCGGACGGGCCTGGCGCTGGCCATGGTGCTGGCCTCCGCGCCCGCGCCCCACCTGCCTGTGCCCAGGCCGCCCCAGCAGCAGCTTCTCGCCTGGGCCCCCACCCCCCTCCCGCTCAGCCTCTGCAGGAGCAAAAGGCATGGGCCGCCCCTCCCACCTCTGAACCCGCCTCTGTCCGTGCAGCCTGCAGCCCAGCTGCCCAGCCACCGGCCCCCGAGGAGCCAAATGACCGCCTAGCAGTCCTCACCCCGAGCTCCTGGGGACGGTCCCGTGTCCCCCCTCGGGGGGATCCTGTGACCAAGGATGACACGGCCACAGATGGCTCTCGGGAGGCCGAGGGCAGTGCGGCCAGGTCTGCGGGGCACCCGGCCCGGCCCACTCACCTCCACGAAGCTGCTGAGGGTGGCGTCGGTGGGGTTGTGCGTGATGAGGAACCGCATGTTCTTGTAGCTCACCTCCACGGGGGCCGGCCGGTTCATGCGGGCCATGGCTGCTCCCCGGGCGGGCTGGGGGCGCGGGCGGGAGGAGTCCCAACCCCCCACAACCCAAGAACGGGGTCCCTGTGCTTGTCCGAGAGAGAAAAACGCTTTTTAAAAAACCCGCCCCCGCCCCCGGCACAAATATTGTGCAGATACTCGGGAGGGGCAGGATGGCTAAAAAAGAAAACCCAAGTCCGTACAAAAGAAAGAGGAAAAAGCCCCCAGAAGTCTAACGGGCCCGTCCGGGCCCCTGCTTCTCACAGACGAGCAATCAGTTACAAACAATTAATTACAAAAAGGCGAACGTGAAAACAGTGACGGAGAAAGAAACTCCGGAAGGAAAACGTGTAAAAGCCCCGCGTCAGTCCGGCCGCCGCAGCCGCGTCCCACGCTGCGCCGGCTGCCGGGGGCGTCCTCTCTGCATCGGTGGGCGGGCCGGCGGGCGGCCCCTCCGTCGGGCGGCCGAGCCCCCGAGGACCGAAGGGAAAGCACACGCACACTGCAACCAAGCCGAAGGGGCCCCCCTGGGGCGGAGGTCGCGGGCGGCTCCGACGCGTGGGCCTGCCTCACGTCACCCCATCGGGGCACGGCGAGTCCTGGCAGGGCGCGGGGGGCTCAGGTGGCCCTGGGCCGGGCGGAGGCCATCGGCGGGCGAGGGCGATGGCGCGGGCCGGAGGCGCGGGCACGGGGGCGCCCTCAGCGGCAGGCGAGGCGACGCTGGGTGTGGCAGCGCTCAGGGCTGCCGCCGGAGGCCCTCGCCATGAATCCCAGGCCGGTCAGCAGCGGGCAGCGCCTGGGGACGAGGGGGAGAAGGGAGTGGAAAGATCAGGGGCCACCTGAGCCCCCGCCCTCCGAGAGCGGCGGCAGCCTGCCCGACCCCCCACCCCCACCACCGCGTCAACGTTGCTTCTCCCTGGAACCCGCTGCGGGAGCTGGTGGGGGGGGGGGCCCTCCCCGGGCCTCGGTTTCCCCCACGTGAGAGCGCGAGGGAGGGCAGCTCCGCTGGGCTGGCCCCGGGCCCGGAGGCCGCAGGACAGCCACCGGGATGGAGCGGAGAGGGACCCAGCGAGGAAAGGGTTTGGGGATCACACATGCACCCTCGGGGAGCCCCGAACCCCAACACACGGACGCCAGGCCGTCCGTGGTGACAGGGGCCTAGCACCCAGAGCCCGGCCCCCCACCCCGTAATCGGCAGACGCCCCACCCACACCCCAGACCGTCCGCCTGTCCACTGTGGGGCTTCCCAGCCGGGTGGCCCCGGGGCAGCCGGTCCTCAGACACGGGGGCCTGGGCACGGAGGCCGAGGGGCTGGGACCAGGGGGCGGGGGGGAGGTGGAGGAGGTTCCGCTCACACCGAGATCTCCCCCAACGTCCCTCTGCCCCGGCCGCCGTCCCCACCGTCTGCTCACGGGGCTGGCCGGGCACAGGGGGCAGCAGGGAGGGGCTCTGTCCTCCAGGAGCTCCGAGAGCCAGCACAGACCGCAGCAGGCGAGGGCCAGCCCCCAGGCACATGCCCAGGGGGTGACGGCACAGGCAGTCAGGAAGGGGTCGCTCTGAGACGGGGCACCAGGGAGGGACGCTGCCAGGCCACAGAGACCACCGTCAGGCACCTCCACGCCTGCTTCTCCCTCCTGGGCTCCGGGGGCCCAGGCCTGGGGCCCCCGCAGCGGCACCGGCCCCCAGGGCGGTTTCGCTGGCCTCGGTTTCCCCATCAGCACAACGAGAGGCCGAACAAGATGCCCCCAAGGTCCCTGCAGCTGTGACCCAGTGGCCCCGGGACCTCAGCCTGGGTGCAGGAGGGGCGCAAGGCCTCAGACCCCAGACGCCACCGCCGCTCCCAGGCCCAGGGCAGCCGCCACGTCTCGCCCCCACCCTGCCCCTTGAGGTGGTCCTGGGAGAGGAGGGCTCAGTGGGGGTGTGGTGCCCCCAGGGCAGGGGGGAGAGACGGAGAGAAGGGTCCTGCCCTGGCTGGGCCCAGCCGGAGCCACCCTGCAGCCGGAAAGAGACCCCTGCACAGGCCCCGGGCGGCCAGCGAAGGAACACCTGAGCCTCCCGAGGCAGCAGCCGGCCCCACGTGCACGTGTGTGTGCATGCGTGTGTGAGTGTGTGTGTGTTTGCCAGAATGAAAGGGGTAAAGGCCCAAAGAAGCCGCGAGGCTCTGCCTCCCTGCCTGGGGACACCTGTGGGCATCCGGAGGTGGCCTGGCTCTGCCACCCAGTGTCCCTGGGCGGGTCCTGAGGGCCGAGGGTCACTGGGCAGGGAGGGGCCTGGAGCCCCCCATACTACTGCCCGCTGGAGCCTGGAGTGGTGCCCTGTCGGTGGGGCTAGGGGTTAGGCTGGCTAGGGTCAGAGGTCTGGGCAGAGGTGGGACCAAGGCCACTACCCTGGCTGCCACACCCACCTGGGGGTGGTCCCCCGCAGGGTCTGGGACTCCCAGCCACAGGTGGGGCACACAGGACGCCCACTGTCCTGTCCCAGGTGCCCCGCGTGGCTCAACCAGGCCTTGGGGCCACCCCCAGGGAAAGGCTGTTCCTCCTACCCACACCTCCTCAGTGGGGTCACTCAGCAAGCTCCCCAGGCAGCAGGACCCAAGGCCACCAGCCCCACCCCCTATGCCCCTGCAGTCCGGGGCCCATCCCTCTGGCCTTCGGGCCACAGCACACACACGCCCCCTCCCCCCCTCACCCCGCCCAGAACTACTGTCCTTCGGGGACCTGTTGGGGAGGCCCCTCGCCGCCCGACTGCAGGGGAGGGGGCAGCCCAGGGAGAGGCAGAGGCCCTCCGGAGCCCTGCCCAGGCCAGCGAAGCGCTGCCCGGGCTCCCCGAGCTCAAGTCTGGGGGTCAGGAGCGGCGCTCAGGCCGGCTCCCGGGGTGGAAACCGCCCTCACCCCTGCTCACAGCTGGCTGAGGAGCCGGCAGGAATCGGGATCCACAGGGTTCCAGGGAGGCCCGGCCCCTCTGGACCCAGAACCGGGGATGGAAGCCGGGAGGCTGGAGGGCTAGGGCTCAGGGGGTCCCAGAGGGGGCCGGCGAGAACACGGGAGGGGAGCGCGAGCCCGTGAGCGGGATGGCCTCCCCGGCGCGGGCTGGCTCGGGCGGGGGCCACCCCGTCCCGCCGCGCGTTAGCCCCGGCGCGTAGGCTGGTTCTGAGGGCTGCGGCCACCTCCCCGGGGCGGGGCTGGGGTCCTTCCCGGCACGCCCCCCGCCCGCGCCCTGCGCGCCCCGCTCACCGGAGAGTGCGGGCGTCCTGCCGCTGCCTCCATCCGCTCGGGGCCAAACCGGGCCGCGGCCGGGAGACCCACGGTGCGGGGCGCTGGCTCCCCGCGGAGGCTCCCCGGGCGAGCGGCCGGGGGCTATTTATAGCGCCCGGGCATCACGTGGGGCGGGGTGGCCGGTGACCGGCTGGCGACCTGGCTTGTTGTGGCTCCCACACCTGCCGCCTAAATATAACTGTCGGTTCCCCGCGCCCGGCAAACAAAGGGGCGGCGGAGGGCCCAGCGCGGAGGAAGCGGCGCGGAGGAAGGGGAAATGCAAGGGCAGAGGGGAGGGCCGCTGGCCGCCGCGGGGCGGGGCCCCTGCCGCCGGGCGCACGGCCTTCCTCCTCCCCGAGCGAGCGTGCGCCGCCCTGGAACCTCCGGGGCTCCCCACGGCCCCTTCGGAGGGGGGGCAGCGGTGGAGCCGCGCGGCGCAGAGGGTGCTCCTGATGGGCACCTCGGCCCAGGCCAAGGCTTGGACCCATAACTTTGAAAATACAGAGGAGGGTAGCCATGGCCCAGATGGGTAAACTAGGCTGGCACCCCCAGAGTCGCTGCCACCCGCCTCGCCCGGCCCCAGCCCCGGCCCCTGCTCAGGCTCCTGCTGGGACCCTGGTCTCACACTGAGGACCCCTCCGCTTGCTGAGCACCCACAGCACCCCTCATGTCCTCGCTGCCTGGAGGGGCGCCAGCTGCCGTTCCCCGCCCCGCCCCGCCCCTGGTGTGCAGGTGAGGAACGGACTCCGTGGAGCTCCGAGCCTGCCCCGGGGACTGCGAGAAGGCAGGGTCCACAGGGTGCTGTCTCCCCAGCACCTCGCCCTCCGAGCCTCGGAAAAGCCACCCCCTGGGAATGAGGTGACATTCCCAGGCGAGACCCTCCCCGGGGCCCTGGCGTGCTTCCAGGGAGCGCAGGTCCAGACACAGGTGGTCCCCCGACTCAGCACGGGGTGGCCGTGGCGGTCCTCGCACCCCGGGGCTCCCAGCTCCCAGCAGCGTCTCCCTGGACGGCGGCTCTGAACACCCAGTGTCCCACGGGTCTCCCACCGTGATGGCTCCCTGAGGGTCTGTCCCCCCGGACACTGCCAGGCCCTGCACGCCGTGAACGAGACTGTCAGCCACACCGTGTGGGTGACACACAGCAGCCTGGACGGCTCCAGTGACTTCCTCCAGCCACACAGCCCGGAGGTGGGGCCACAGTGGGCCTGGGTGCTGCCCCGCCGGCCGAGGCCCTCTGGAGACACCCAGCCTGTCCCCCATCCGTCCGGGTGAAAGGTCCCTTCAAGCCCAGGGGTCCGCACCCAGGACGCAGAGCCCACCCAGCTGCTCGGGCTGCAAACCTGGGCCCCAGATCCCCACCCCCCCTTGCCCGGGGCGCCCCCTCCGGCCAGGCCCGGGGGGCACCTGCCGCCCCTGGCGCTGCCCCAAGCCCTTCAGAGAAGTCTATTTTTATCGGGCAGGAGCCGTTCCTGGAAGACTCCCAGCGCGAGCCCGCGTCCACACACTGCTGCGGGGGGGCCCGGAGGGGAGCCCCGCCAGGACGGGCCCTCGCCACCCCGCCCCGCCCCCAGAAAGCCTCCCAGAGCCCTCCCACCCTCGCACGCAGCCGCGCCCGGGCCCAGCCCCCCCACTGACGGCCGCTGCTGCCTCCCTGCCCGCTCCCCGGCCCCGTCCCCTCTCCCTTCGGCACGCGCCCTCCGGGGCAGAGAGCGGTCTGCCGCAGGGTGGGCGGGCCCCGGGGGCAGGCACAGAGGTCGTCGACTCCACCCAGCCTCCCGCACGTGGGGCTGGCACCAGGGGCCCCCCCACCCACTTGTTTGCGGACAAGTGACCCAACGTTCTGGGCAGCGGTCCAGACCTGGGAAGCGTCCAGGACGCATCACGGGACCTCAGCCCCCGAGGTCCAGAAGGGCCTCAGAGGTCACAGGCGCCATCTAATCCCTGGCCTGCACACCCCGGTGTGCTCACTGCTCTTTGGCATCGCCTTCCCCCTTCGGGCAGCGCCCCAAGTCACCAGTCCCTCCTTCCAGTGCCTGCCGAGCGCCCGCTGCGTGGGCGTGGCCAGCAGGAGGGAAGCCTCCCAGAGGGATCAGCCCGCACGCAGGCAGATGCTGCCCAAGGCAGAGGTGGGGCAGCAGGTGATCAGGGAGGGCTTCCTGGAGGAGTGGGCCCGCAACGGCATCGTCAGGGCTTAGCCAACTGCTCTGACTCCCTGTGTGGCCCGGGACCAGCATTTGCCCTCTCTGGGTCCTGTGGCCTCCTCTCCCAGAGGAGACACTGCCAGAGAGGGGAACCACTTTGCGCAGTGGGGGCACCTCCCAGCCAGCCCCAGGGCACCCCACTGTGCGCTGGCCGCGGAGCCGTGTGAAACAGGCTTCTGTATCCACGGGGCCAGGCCCCCCTCTTACCCACTGGGACCCCGAGGTGGCGAAGACGCTTCCCGGAGCTCAGCCGCCGACCCACAGGCCTGCGAGGGTCAGCCTCGCCACACACGTGGCTTCTGGTGCCCACAGGACGTGGTGCGGACTGGCCTGCCCGTGCGGCCGGCCCGCCAAGGCCACCCTCCCGCGCTGTCAGCCCACGGCCCCGCCTGGACAGGCCGCAGCTCCACCGCAGACGGGAAAGCTGTCATTGCCACCCTCATGAGTGGCCGGGTGGGCAGGCGGGTGCAGGACAGTGTGACTCCTGCTCTGATGCCCAGACCCCCCTCCCGGGGGTGGTGTCAAACCGGGATCGGGGCCACCGGCGCTCACGGTAACTAGGAGGGGCCGGTGCCTGCTTTTCCGCGGAGCCTATAGCCCACATCAGGGTCGAACAGATCAGAAGCCCCCCTGTACTGGAGGGGCGTCTGTGTCCCCGGTGCTCCTCTGATTCATTTTGTACAAGGGGGTTCACAGGCCACCGTGAGCACCCAGGTCACGGGGAGCAGGAGAGGGTGTGGTCAAACCAGCACCCAGCGGCCATGTGGCCATGGGTCCCGCCGTGTGGCAGCCGTTGTGCCCCCAGCCCCCCCAGGGGACATGGTGACGGGGGGACCGGTGCACCCCGGCTGTCCTGGGTGATCTTTGATCTTTGACAAGCCCTCCTCCCACCCCCCACCCCACGGTGAACGGTCGTGCCGTCGCCGCTGCGCTCTGGCCCGCGGTTACCAGAGAGGACGTGGGCACGGAAGGGTTCCGGAACCGCCGAGGGGCAGGAGAGCTGGGCCGGCCCCACGCAGGGGCACCCGGTCCCCTCCCCCGGTCCACGGAGGCTGGTGCCGCCGCTGGGAGGCGGGGGCACGTGACGGCAGCAGGGAGCCTGGGACGATGGGGTGCATCTCCACGTGGCCCAGGCGGAGGGAGCTCCGCGAGGACGAGGCTCCCGCGCCAGGGTGAGCCCTCGCCCCACCTGGCCGAGGAAGCCGCGGAGCCGGAAGTCCTGAGGACCCCCGGCCGAGAGCTCTCCTGAGGTCTGCCCCGGGCGGCCACCCCACCTTCCACGCCCGCCCACCCACCCCGGGGGCCCCCGTGGCCCTCCGGCACTCTGACACTCACCCGAGTCCCAAGTCCTAGAGTCCCTTGTGGCTGCGCCCCCAGCCTGGCTTTATCCCTGCCCGCTTGCCCGCCCTCCCGCGTCAAAGGCCCCAGACCCCCGCCCACCCGGGATCGGCCGGGAGACTGGGGCACCGGCGGGGGCGGCCCTGGGAGGTTCCTGCCGCCCGGCCTTCGGCTCCCGCCTCTGAGGGCCGCCAGCAGCTGGACGGGGGGGGGGCCTGGGACGCGGGTCTGAGGTCGCGGGGGGCACCCTGGTCCCAGGAGGAAGAAAGGGGGAGCCCCTCCCCCACCGGGCCGGGCTCCGGGGCTGGAGCGGGTAGGACGGTCCCCAGGGCCCTGTAACTGCAGGCAGCCAGAGCCGGAGGGGGCAGGGGGGGCAAGAGTTGCGGGCAGGGAGCCAGAGGGGAGGGGAGTCCAGGCTCCGAGGCCCAGACCTTGCAGCTGGCAGGGGGATGGGGTTGGTGGGGGGAGGGGGAGAGGCGAGGGGCACCTCAGGTGTCCGCCCTGTCTCCCCCGCGCCCGCCATGTGAGCTGGGAAGAGGGTCTGAGGGCCCTTTCCCTCCCGGGTGGGCTCACCCCACTCCCACCCCCCCACCTGCCCACACAGAGATAGCTCACCCTCAACCTGAGTGCCCCTCCTCACCCCCCACTCCTGCCCTCTCGGGGGTTCACAGGATCTCTCCCGTCAGCCCTGCTCCTCCCAAGAGCCCCCTGAGCGCCAAGGCATTCGGGTCACCCCATTGCGGCCCTTTCCTCCCCAGAGAGGAGGGAGCTGGCCAGCCAGTGGGCGCGTTACCCTGCCCTGCCCCGCCCCACGGCCCTGCTCCAGCTGAGGAAGTGGGAACCCCCGCCAGCGGGGGAGGGGCTGTTCCTGCCTCCCAGGGCCGAGGGCGGCTGCCCCTCCCCCGCCAGGATGCTGCCCCAGGATGGTGACATCAGGAAGGGTGGGGCCTGCCCACCCCACCCTGGGTGGGGGTTGAGGGGTCTCAGGCCATCCCGTCTCCTGGAGGGTAATTCCTGGGGGCCCAGGTGGCCCCCCAGAAGCCCGCACTGATGCCTGCCCCCCAGGGGAGCAATGGGGAGCAACAGCCATAGGAGGGGCCACCCCCCTCCCCCGGCCACCCAGACCTCCCTCCAGCCCTGCCCCTCTGCACACCCCCCAGGTGGGGACAACCCTGGGGACCATCCTACACAGCGGGAGGGACAGCTCCACAACAGACACCAGGGCCGGCTCCGACGTGACCCTCAGCAGTGCTCCCCGCACCGCCCAGGGAGACCAGGGGCCCTGTGGGGACACGCACGGGTCATGCCGCAGATGGGGCGTCGCGACCAGACGGCTCAGCCAGGAGGGACGGGGGCCCTCCCCCACCACAGCCCAGCAGCAGCAGCCCTGCACCCCCTTTGTGCCCCGGACCACGCCCGTCTTTCCGGCTGGACGTAGCAGGGCTGGGGGCCTCCCAGCAGCCTTTGGCGTTTGCCTCGGAGATGGGTGGCCCCCCTTTCTGCCTCACTGCCCAGCAGGACAGGGCCTCGCACAGCAGAGCACTGCCCCTCCCTGGCCCCAGCCAGCAGTCTCCTCTTGGGGTGGACGAGACTGGACTCATCCAAGGGCCCAGACCCTGGCCCCCGGACAGGCAGGGCCCCCAGCCGCCGGCAGCGCATCAGCCCCTCGCCGGGCTGGCCGGGTGTCCAGGAGCAGTGTC